AACACTAAATATATTAGGATATATATATATATATATATATATATATATATATATATATATATATATATATATATATATATATATATATATATATATATATATATATATATATATATATATATATAGTTTATATACATATATATATATATGTATATAATATTAAATATATCTATATATAGACATATATAGATATATGAAGGATATATATATATATATATATATATATATATATATATATATATATATATATATATATATATATATATATATATATTCCCGTATATTCTATGTTATCAGCTGAGCGAGGAAGGGGGGGGGGGGAGGGTTATTCGTACTCTAATTTATAAGTTCCGTGTAAATTTAATTCCATTCCACCCTGCTCTAAGATCTCTGCCCCCAGCCAATTTTAAAGTTCAAATTTTACCTCCGAGTGAGATAACGTTTGTTTTTGTCTTTAACTGAACCTGGAAACGACTCAAATCAAGAAATATAAGCGAACTTTTTAAATCACCCGCTGTACTCTATCGCACTGGGGATCTGGGGAAAATTTCCTAAATATTATTTTCAAATATTTATATTATCTAAATGTGAATGCATTATTTTGAATTTTTAGATATTTTGTTTAAAACTGCTAATAAACAGGGGATTTGTTTTATGGAATTTTAATGTTCTTAAAACGAAACTCAGACAGGGATATAACCCAGCAGGATTCTAATGACCTTTATACTGCTTCTCTCCCCCTGTGATATTTACTTCAAACATGAGATTAAAAAAAAAGGTTGGACGTGAGCCATAGCCATATGGTTTCGCAATGTTCAGGTATTTACAGGTGTACAGAAGGCAGGTATTGTACAGGCTCCTAAACCCTCTGGACGATCTAACCGTAAAAAAAATACCGTAAAAGAAAAATCAAAACAGTGCAGCAAGAAATAGTCGATAACTTGATCAAAGTGCAGACGGTAAGGCTGTAAAAAAGTAAAACTGGGGAGCAGAGGGGGGGGGGGGGGGGAGAGGACGGGGGGGGGGACTACTCCTGGGGCTAAAAAAAAAAGTGGAACAGAAAGAATTTGGAAACGGTTCAATTTTAAGTATGACCCAATTCCATTCAAGTAGCATTATACGATGTTTACCTCTGCTGAAAGATATATTTGGCGCACAGAGAAAAAAAATATCGAAAAGACGCTGAAATCGAAAAAACGTATAGATCGACAAATTTTAAAAGATTAATAATGTGTTTCTTGAGTTCAGAATGCTAGTGGTTATGTCTGGGCTTTCAAATATACTATAAAAGCCTACTTACTCATTATTGATTAAAATTTGAAAACATGCTAATTGTTAGTAGATTCTAAAAATAGAATGTGTTTTGAACTGTTATCTTATTGATTTACGGGTTATAAATGTTACAAAAACACAGTTTGTACATTATGTTTAATAGTGTGCATAGCTAAAAAAAAAAAAAAAAGAAAAGACTGCACTGTCTCAGAAAAAAATACTTCACAGAGTTATCGTTCTTTGTTTTTGTTTTGTTTTGTTTCGTTTCGTTTTTTTTAATGTATTTTTGTTTAGGTTTGTTATGTATTATCTTTGTTTTCTTTTGAGGGGGTGGCTAAAGCATTGACGTAACAAAGACAAACACAATTCCCATTCCGTAATATTTCAGCACACAAAAACATTCTTCTGCAATAACCGCAGGTTATGCTTTGACGTCATCAGTATTCGATGTCATGATTCTAAAAATAGCTCACGTCTGAACAGTTTGCGAGCGACACGTTGAGCGTGTTGAAATCAACTATCTAGGCTTGGTTGTAAAAGGCGGTGAGTGTTACATCTACTTCAAGGTTTTCGTGGATCTCCATGTCCCAATCAACACAAATCAGGGAAATCGTAAAATAGTTATGGGGATAATTAACAAAATATATTTAAACAAATACAAAAATTAGTTGTGTGTATTTTATTTTTTTTATTTTGTTCACTGTTAGATAAACAAGTCTAATTTCAAAAGAAACACGTTTTCAACGCACTCGTTTTTTTTTTCATAAATATTTTTATTTTCAGTTGAAACAGAAGCCAATTAAACTTGTTGTTTGAAATCTGAGACGGTTAATGTCGGGGGAGTAAAGGGGGTGGGGGAGCATTAATAGAGATATGCCTTGGCTTCTGAGAGCACTCGGCACGTGCTTCAATAAAATAAACACACGGCTTCATGTGCCTGTTTACCTGTTGTTCCGACCTCTGACCTCTACCTTAATAAACACATCTGAAAACTTTGGCCTGGAAAAGAAATCTTTTTTTTTTAATTAGAGAATTTCAAAGATAGGAACATCATAAAATGTGCGTCATGAAACATTTAATTTAGAGAAAAGAAAAACTAATTTAGATGTAACTCAATATCTAGTCCTGAAAAGCTTTGGAGTTTATACCAAAAGATTTTTAAAAAGTTAAACCCGAAAATATTTTTGGCATGTAATCAAAAGAATAGGCTACGAAATTTTTTTGAATTTAGACCAAACAAAAAACCTGTAGGAATTTATATCATAAAAATTTTAGGAAGTTAAAAAGTAATTACATTTTTTTTTAAATTAAACCCCTCCAATGCCTGGTAACTCATTTAAAAAAATAACTTTAAGCAGGCTACTTATGTTAATTAAGGTACATATTTATAATTGTGTTTTTTGTTGAGTTAATTAATAAAAATGTGTTGGCGCAGACTCAATTAGTGTCAATGTCTTAGTTCCTAAAAGTGACGTCATTTTTACTCACGTGTTGCTTTAATGAATATTAACTGGCGAAAAAAAAGTAATGAAAATTTATTAGATTTAGCGTTTTGAGTATTTTTATAGCTATTTGTAATTATAAAATAAGACATAAATTTAATATTTTTTTTTTACATTACTCAACATGTTCTTAGTTTACGACTTAATGTTTAAAATAAAATAGCCGTTTACAGTTTCGATTTAAATAGTACATCTCTCAAAAGTTATCAAACAAAATTAAGGAGGAGTTCACATAGTAAACTCTGGTCTATACGCGAAAAACACACCTCGTACTCGAGTTGCCAGTTCCCAGCCGTAACTGGCATTACCCTGACCACTTTTGATAAACCCTAACTCTGATCTCAAAGAAAGTACCTGAAAGTTTAATCAGCACATACGTTTGATGTGCGTTTTATTTAATCCTTCATAATACGCGAAAGTGGTTCCCATAATATACAAAAAGCGGTTCCCATAATATACAAGTAGTTCCCATAATATATAAAAAAAGTTCCCATTATATTCAAAAGTGGTTCCCATAATATAGAAAAAGCAGACCCCATAATAGGCAAAATTGGTTCCCATATTATCCTAAAGTAGCTTCCCTAGTAAACAAATGTGTATCCAAAGTTTACAGCTATAGTTCGTACGTGTCCTTCTGTTGTTCTCCTATCAAACAACGCACATATTACACAACACAAAAATATGATGTTTTACCCAGCACACATATTCACATAACATCTCCAATGTCAGCCACCCCTACAACAAAATGTAAAACCTCCCCTACCCATACACATACAGGTTAGGTATCTTCACGATTAACAATGCTTCTCATGTAATTGAAAAGGAATTCCCATTATGAACAAAATTATATAACTTTAAAAGTGATTCCCATAATTGTACACTTTCGGTTCTCATACTGTGAAGATTGTGATTAGGATGTAAGCCTATCAAAAATATTTTACTCTCTAGTCAACTTTAAATAGATCATGAATCTAGCAAGCTTTATTTTTATTATAATTATTATAATTATTATTATTAGCTTACTGGTGATGTCTGTCTTGGATCGAAGATTGAGAACAATATTTCACCCGTTTTTACCCCGAGGCTAGGCCAATATCCAATGACACTTGACATAATAAAATGCCTCCAGAGTTTCTTTCAGGCATCTCTTCGGGGGGGGGGGCTAATCCCCCCCCCCCTTGAAAAAAGTCTACCGCCCCCCGAACGAGATGGATTTTATATAGTAAACATAAACTTTTACTAGTGTCCGCCCCCCCCCCCAAAATATGTTGACCGCCCCCCCCCCCCCGAAAATTTCAAGTGCCCCCCCCCCCCCCCGAGAAAAAAGTCTGGAATAAACACTGCATGCTTCATTTGTTTTTAATCTAATGAATGTTTACTATATAAAGTGCTAATACTAGTAATGTGACATATGCGTGGGGAGAGAGGAGAGGTGTTGTGGGATTATATATATATATATATATATATATATATATATATATATATATATATATATATATATATATATATATATATATATATATATACGTTGTTTCATCCTTGTATTCGACATGTCATGAGAGTTGAGCTTACTGCTTCATGGTACTCTAGTCACGTGGGAGAATCTCCCCTATTTTTTAAAACGCCCCATTTTGAGTGGCCCTCGAAAGCATAAAGTTTTATATCCTTTATGACACACATTTTTTATGGTCCATCTTTGCTGGAATGTGTGTATCATTTGACTTGAAACGTGACACATTAATGATATCGGGGTCATGACGCATAACGTGCTATAATGTGCTAAATTACGAGTGACACGTTGCAAGAAGAGTCAGTAAAATCACGAGTCATCATGTTTTAAACTTTACATGGCAATGTATTGATTTTTGACTCCGAGTCGTGAGTTAAGCCCATCATCTATCATGTTCCAAATTTCGCAAGCTATTGATCCAATAGATTCTAGACTTGACTAGTAGAATTTTCATTGACCCAAATATTTCGTATCTTTATGGAACAAATAACATCAAAATTTTGTTTACTTTTACTCATATTTCTAGCTATTACATGTCCTCTTCATATTTCTAGCCATTACACCTCCCCTTCATATTTCTAGCTATTACATGTCCTCTTCATATTTCTAGCCATTACACCTCCCCTTCATATTTCTACACAACATATCTCCACTACACACAGAATATACAGTAAATAAATTGCCGCCTTATTCTCTGTCAACTAAACTGCTCCATATCAAATCCTCCACCTTGCCAATGCTCCACCTTGCCACTGCTCCACTTTGCCACTGCTCCCCTCGCCACTGCTCCATGTACCTACTGCTTCACATTGGCCCTGCTCCACCGTGCCAATGCTCCACCGTGCCACTGCTCCACCTTGCCACTGCTCTACTTTGCCAATGCTCCACCGTGCCAATGCTCCACCGTGCCAATGCTCCAACGTGCCACTGTTACACCTTGCCACTGCTCCACTTTGCCACTGCTCCACCTTGCCACTGCTCCACTTTGCTAATGCTCCACCTTGCCACTGCTCCACCTTGCCACTGCTCCACTTTGCTAATGCTCCACCTTGCCACTGCTCCACCTTGCCACTGCTCCACTTTGCCAATGCTCCACCGTGCCAATGCTCCACCGTGCTAATGCTCCAACGTGCCACTGTTACACCTTGCCACTGCTCCACTTTGCCACTGCTCCACTTTGCCACTGTTACACCTTGCCACTGTTACACCTTGCCACTGCTCCACCTTGCCACTGCTCCACCTTGCCACTGCTCCACCTTGCCACTGCTCCACCTTGTCACTGCTCCACTTTGCCAATGCTCCACCTTGCCACTGCTCCACCGTGACATTGCTCCACCTTGTCACTGCTCCACCTTGCCACTCCTCCACCGTGCCACTGCTCCACCGTGCCACTGCTCCACCGTGCCACTGCTCCATGTACCTACTTCTCCACCTTGCCACTGCTCAATGTTCCTACTGCTCCACCTTGCCACTGCTCCACCTTGCCAATGCTCCACCTTGCCACTGCTCCATGTACCTACTTCTCCACCTTGCCACTGCTCCATGTACCTACTGCTCCACCTTGCCACTGCTCCCCCTCCCCACTACTCCACCAGCACATCACCACCATGTACTACGCACTTGTTTAAGTACAACTGCACTGTTTGTCTCCAGCATAGCTGGCATGTTCCAAACACAAGGATAAGTGGAGCTGTCAAAGACCGGAACAAGAATTCTGGCGAAAATGGCGGCTCTGTGTTTGCCAAGCTTTAAATAAATCCGGGGGAGGGTGGGGTGGAAATTTGTGCGAAAAGAGGGAGGGGGGAGACAACTGACTGCTACTGCTTTTTTCGCTTTATCCGTTGCTACTTTGAGTTACAAGTGATATTTTTTTACTCAAAGGGAAATAAATGGTATATAATTTAAAAATAGCAATAGTTGTCTCTCTTTGTATGCTAAAAAAATAAACATTCTTGCATTGTTTAACATGTCATGTGTTATTTGTTTTGTTTTTTAAATATTTCATGTGCAAGTCTGTTTAAAAAAGTGGCAATATTTGTATGAAATAAATAAAACAGATAGCTCTGACAAGATTTATTTACTTTGGCATATTTAAATTTAAAGTCATCGATGTTTCCAAATAGTCTGATTATAAAACCTGTCAAATTTATTTACCAGAGGAACATTTTCTTACATTAAATAAATGAACGTTCTCTAAATAAAATATCTATTTACATTTTAACCTTCACCTCAGGTTAGAGAAAAAAGTATATAATTACTATCACTTCCTATTATTATTTCAGTTAGCATTAATATGAAGTATGTACATACTTTGTTATTTAAGAGGAAATGAATAAGGGAGGCAACTTTGGTATAGCAAACAATAATTACCAATTCAAATAATCACAAAAAAGAATAACTTCACAAAAAATTCAAATTTACAGAAATACATTAATCAAAACTCTTCATAGTCCTAAATTTTCAAAAATCATAAAATATTACAAACAAATGACTTTGTAAGAATACTGATATTAGCTGTCTGAGTTGTGTCCCCTGTGTGTATCTGTTATTCAGCCTCACTCTCAGCTGCAGATTCAGGGTTGCTGGTGTAGGGGTCGCTGTCCATAAACCTGATCATACTACTTCCTGTTGGCTTCCTGGGACTGACCAGCTCTTCCCCCTCGCTGATGTTAACTTTTGGTGGCGGGCTATGCAGACCACCAAGTCGAACTCCCTTTTTGGCAGTTGGAGATTTGCCTGGAGATACACTCCCAGTGACAGCGAAGTCCGGAGTTTTCTTTTTCAAAATGGATTCTCTTGGGCTCTTCCTTGGTGAGAAACTAACATTCTCAATCAGCCTTTTCTTCAGTATTGACTCCCTGGGTGTTTTATCTGTGACCATTATGTCTTGGCTCACCTCCCTGGACGATGGGTCACATGACGCAGAGTCTCTCAAGTGTGACGACAGCCGGCTGCTCGGCTGGTCATAGTCAGAGTCACCTGACTCATCGCTGTAACGGCCGTCCTCAGAGTCACTTTTGGTCTGGATATCCAGCATGAAGGAGACGCCTTTTCTGGAATCTTCTTGGACAATCTTCACGGCCTGGTGGATGGCCTGTATGACCATGATGGTGGCCTGGAGCTGCAGGGCCACTTCACTGTGGCCACTTGCATCAAGAGATTTGATGATGGCTGACCACTGGTTTTGGCTAGTTGTTTTGTCCAGCGTTATGGCTGTTTGTAATGGAAGAAGATTACCTAGAATTTAGGAGATAAAAGAATTCAGATTTTATACTACTGATATATTTTACAAACTATATTTTAAATATTTTATATCACTGAAATATTTTACAAATCCATTTTAATCAGATTTTATATTGCTAAATATTTATAAATATATTTTATGAGATTTTATATTATTGAAATAATGTACAAAATACACTTATACTGAAGATTTTAGCTCAAAATTTTTGACTCTATCAAAGAAATAGTTGAACTTTTGTCTTTTTGTATCACGATTTTTAAAAACCAATTTAAAACATCATGCATTTATGATTAAACATTATCAAGGTAATTTTATGAGATATCTAAAGTTTGAATGATCAGTCTAGGTTGTACCTACTCTTTAATTTATTTCTTGGTTGAGTGATCATAGCATGAATAAGTATAGCTGCTTGATCAGACTTGTTTAGCTCCACTAGACATTGTATCAATCTGCCAACTGTTATATTTAGGACTGAAACAAGAAACGGAGCATAAAATTATAAATTTGAACGAATTGTGAAACGTGAAAGAAAAATTCTTTATAAATGATGGAAAACTAAATTTTGGTTTTAAAAATTAAAAGGTAATGTTACACAAGTATTTTAAAAAAAGATTGTCAATTTTACGTTTGTAACAATATGTTTCATACAAGTAGTCACTACACATTACAAATATTTATTAGGATTAAAAACTTTCTTAATAATTCCAAAAAAGAAAGACTTTATTTTTTAAGTAAAAAATGTATTCAAAGATATATTTTTCAAAAGTTAAACTGGTAAATAAAAAATAAACAGTAAACAATAAAGAGTAAACAATAAACAGTAAACAATTAACAATTAACAGTAAACAATAAACAATAAACAATAAACAATATACAGTATGACAGACCAGATTTCTTCTGTTCACCATCAGCTTCCAGAAGTCCTTGGAGAAAATTCTGGCAGGAATTCACTTGCAGGTAACCGCCAATGTTTTCTTGTGTCAGGCAGGAATACACCTTGGCGTACTGCAAGGCTGCTTCCACTTTACCTTGCTTCAGCATCACCCGCACCGCAGCCTCATGGGACTTGAGGTGGACAAACACATTCTGGGCCAGGGCCTGGCAGCCACATTTACAAGGTGAAGGACATGTGCAGTGATCCGTGATCAGCTCACCAAGTTCTTGGGACAATGTTAATCTAAAAGATGGGCAATGGGATAATGTTAATCTAAAAGATGGGAAATAGAACAATGTTAATTTTAAAGGATGGGAAATAGAACAATGTTAATTTTAAAGGATGGGAAATAGAACAATGTTAATCTAAAATATGGGCCATGGGATAATGTTAATCTAAAAGATGGGAAATAGAACATTGTTAATCTAAAAGATGGGAAATAGAACAATGTTAATCTAAAAGATGGGAAATAGAACATTGTTTTATAATCTAAAAGATGGGCAATGGGATAATGTTAATCTAAAATATGGGCCATGGGATAATGTTAATCTAAAAGATGGGAAATAGAACAATGTTAATCTAAAAGATGGGAAATAGAACAATGTTAATCTAAAAGATGGGAAATAGAACAATGTTAATCTAAAATATGGGCCATGGGATAATGTTAATCTAAAAGATGGGAAATAGAATAATGTTAATCTAAAAGATGGGAAATAGAACAATGTTAATTTAAAAGATGGGAAATAGAACAATGTTAATCTAAAATATGGGCCATGGGATAATGTTAATCTAAAAGATGGGCAATGGTACAATGATGTTAATTTTAAAGCAGAGGCGTAGTGACCCTTCCCCGTGCCGGGGACAAACTTTCAATTTGGCGCCCCGTTCCCCCCCCCCCCCCCCCCCCCCAATATATTTTTTATATTTATAATGCAAAACTGCAGTTAAAATGAGCATTTGATTTTTTTTTTACAACCCATTTTGGGGCCCCCTAGGGTCAGCGCACGGCGACATATGTATCCCCCACCCCGCCCCCCCTCGCTTCGCCTCTTTCTTAAAGATGGGCAATGGGACAATGTCTTAAAGATGTATATTATGATAAATCTAAATGATAAACATTGTGAGTTTATCTGCATGATCACAAAATTATTCTAAAAATTAATGTAATGGGTGAAGTCTAATAAAAAATCAAATTATGTCAAATGTTGCAGGAAAGTAGTCAAAATGAATCAGTGTCAAGTGGCCTGAATAATAAGACAAAATATTCTGGTCCAATTTAATACCTAGACAAACATTGTTTTCATGAAAAACTATCAGCTAAAATTATTGTTCTACAAGTCTAGGACTAATAACCAGTTTGTAAACTACCTGTATAAAAGTCTATGTCTTGTCTTGCACTGACTACCTGTATCACACAAGCCACCCCCCTCCCCTACAAGCCTCCCGCCCCCCTACCCACCTGTCCTGGGCTATCCAGTGATACACCAGATCTATCCTGTTCTCCTTAAGACCAGCCCTGATACAGTCCACAGAGAGAGCCTCGTTGGGTTTTCTCCCTGCAGCTTTCACTGTTGACATCAGGGCATCACAGAATGCCAGGAGTGGTGACCTCCCCTTCAGCTTCACGCTTACATCTGGGACAGAAATTATTTTTTACAAGTAAAATTTTTTTCATGTGGGACGGCATGGTTAAAGGGTAGACACCCTGCACCCTAGATTTCAAATTCCAGGTTCAAGTCTGTAGGATGTCCCTAAGTCCACACAACTCTGATGAGCAGCTAACACATGTTAGGGAGAGTAAAGGTGGCTGAGCATAGTGCTGATTACACTATCCACTTTCTCTTAAAATGCTGAGGTAACTGAAACAGTTGAACTCTACTTCATCTACTCCATGGTCTGTCAGGTCATGGAGGTGTCATTTCATTTTGTTTTACTTTTTTTTTTTTATTTATGCTAAATAACTGGATATTTTTCAAACAAGTTTAACTGGTTGTCTTACATTTTAAAACTAAGCAGGGCAGAGTTTAAAGGATTTATAACACTTGCTCTTAAGGCCTAGCACAGTTTACATTGCTGGAAGGTTGGAGAAAACCTATATAATTAGGCCTATACAAATTTTCGACAGCGCCTAAAGAATAAAGAACCTAAGGTAATTTACCTCTGAACTTGGCAAGTGTGGCTTGTGTCCTGAGAATTCCCTTTGGGCTGTTGGCTGCGTGGACAGCAGCCTCCTCAAACAGCCCATCCTCAAACAGCTCGTTGAATTTTTCAATGTATTCCAACATGATCTCAGCTTCCTTCTCCTTGTTTGGGTCATCATCATCAACAGATGCTTGTAGGGCATCACTCTGGTCACCCTCCAGCTTCTCTCCTGTGTTGAAGTTTAAATAATTAGTCTCCAACAAAACAGGAATTTATACTTACATGCATTATCCATAAGAGCCGAAAATGCTAGACAAGTTTGGAAGTGTTTATAATTAAGTTAAATAATTGTTTTTGTTTTCTCTCATACATCAATAACAAATAGAGAATTTATCTAAATATTCCTGGATAAAAAATTTTACTAAAAATTCTAGATCTAAATCCTCCTAAGAACTAACTTAAGAAATCAAACAGATTGAACCACATAATGAAATCCAACCTGTATCAGTTTGAAACCTTCCAGATGCTTGATGGAATGCCAGTATTACAGCATCCCCTACTGTCTGATGCGGTGGTTTCATCAAGTTGTACGCTTGAGCAGCTTCCAACGCAACTTTGAGTTTCTGACTCCTAGCTTTGTAAACCTGAAAATAATTACTGGGTAACAAATCACTGTTGCAATTAGTCTTGTGCTGTAGCACTGAGGGTTTTAACTAATGAGAGTCTTGTAAAATTTTATTAAATCCATTTTCATTAATGAATTTGATTGAGAATAATTTGCTCTACAGTAGAATATCTTAAACTGTCTAACTAGAACATATTGTTTCCTATATTTTAGAGCAACATATAAACATGTAGCTGGAAATACTCAATTAATGAGATAAGCTTTACAGAAACTGTTGAGAGACATCCCTTTATGAAGTATTATACAATTATCTAAAATAATTTTTAACATGGCATGATAGACAAATCTTCTACCTGACTTTGCCATAAGAGTTGGTCTCTGTATGCAACTTTTTTATCCAAAGTTTCTTTCAGCTGTAGCTTCTGTGCTTTAGGTACAAATCTGGTCCTTAAACTGATGTTCACCTCTTTCAGTTGTCTGTCTAAGGCCTCGTATTTTTTTTGTAGGATATTTATATTTGTTGATTCTTCAATAGTAAGACCTGCAGTATAATATTTATCCACATAAAGTCACTGCCGGCTGCTGCACATAATAATCACACTTTTGTTATATTAGCATACAAATAACCTAAAAGTTATATTGTACTCATTACTTGTAAAAAAATTTTAAAAATTATTAGTTTTCACTATACAGTTACTAACATAGCTTCCTCCTCAAATTAAAAGATATCATGCAGATATGTTTTTGTAATAATTATCATTTTCACAAGTAGTTTCCAGTTCATAATTTTTAATGAAAAGTCTTAATTAAATCAGTGATTTTTTTGTAGTTTCAGCATTAAAAATGATAAAAATCCACTGATGGGTCATTTGCCCAATTTTAAGAACACTCCATTAGCTTTATTTTTCTCATTTTCTCAAGATACGTCTGGCACAGCTTTTAAATCAGATGGCAATCCACCACCATGAACACCAAATGTCTTAAAAGCTTTAAAATGTTTTATTTGGTTTGGTACAAATCTTTTGGTTGACTGTACAAAACAACAATTAGCAGATCATCTGCTAAAATTAAATACTACACACACTCAAATCATTGAGTTGCTTAACACATGTACGCAAGTGAAAAATTGGCTTTCTTAAATCAATTTTAAATTTTAATTTGATGTGGCTAAGGAGAAGCTTAAAATCTCTCAATAAAATATGTGAAGCATCATTCTCATATTAAAATTAGCTGTTTGCCTTCAAAACCTTTTGATATATGTCTGTGAAATTCTGGAAGTTAAATTTTCACCTCTAAAGCAAAAACAAATGATGGGGAAACAAACATACCTGGAATAAAACGTCTATCTTTTTTAAGCTGTCTTTTTGGTGGCTCAGCAGTTTTGGGTCTTTTTTCTCTCTCTTCTTTTAACTCTTGCATAGCTTTGAGTTCTTGCTGCAGTTTTTCATTCTCTTTTTTTATAATGATAATTCTTTATAGAAAATAAATATAATGTAATTTAACTTACAATTTGGAAGTAATTGATGTTATACTAATTAAAGAAGTTTTAAAAGTAAAAAAAAAAATAGGGTACTCTGCGGTTATTTTCAAGAATAAATATATTTACATAAATATTAATATGTTTGACTATTGAACCCATTATTACCTTTCCTCAAGTTCATCAACACGTTTATTATAGTTTCTAAGAGTGGATGGTTCAGAAGCTATTGCTGTAACCTTCCCTTGTAAAAATGAAGCCTCTTGATGCTCTTTCTTGATAGCATCTATTGTGTCTTCGTATTCTTTCTTTATTTGTGACAGCAGTGGTTTGTAAGCAGACACATAGTCGATCACCTTTAATAATAACACCATAAGCATTAATCATTTCTGTCAAATTCTAGATTCTAGGCCTATAGTAACGTTAAGTATAACCATTCCTAAAGACAAGAAATATTAATGTTAAGTAGACCTATAAACATATTTTCAACCAAGTGTTTTAGAATTTTTTGTGACGATGGCTTTATCTTCTGAGGGGTTTGTATCTTTCTGTATTCAAAAGGCAATATGGATAGGTTGGGAGTAATACCAATAGCATCATCAAATCAAATATATGCCTACAAAATATTTCTACAGAAATTACAAATTAAACTGCAAAATTATATTAGATATTGTTTAAATATTACATAATACAAAGGTAGACAGTATGGCTTTTTATTTTATTTTATTTTGTGAGAGAGCACATGGTATGTCTTTGATTTGTTTTTTAGGTTCTGCTATTAAGAATGGTTGGATATTTAAGTTGATTCTTCTGTTTTACACATTCTTAATTCTACTATAATAAAGAAGCTAGGAAATATTTAAATTTCTGATTAAAGACCTAGTTTGAAAATACATTTCTACTACTAGCTTTTATACCTAATGAAAATTGTTTTTGAGGACATAACTGTTTTCTGTATAACTGACTTATCAGTAGCAGTTGATACTTTTATGAAAATCATGCACATTATCTAATTTAATTGAGCTTTAAGAGGGGAGAGGCAGTCTTTAAAATGTATAAATTTAAATTATGAGTGGTGGACAGAGGCATAGCAATGGGGGGGGGGGGGCAGGGGGGACCCCGGGCACCGACCTCAGGGGGCACCAAAATGGGTTGTAAAAACAAATTAAAGTGTCAATTTAGCAGTTTGAGGGGGCGTTCAAATCGCGGGGGGTGAAAGTTTGTCCACAGGCACCGGGAAGGGTCGCTACGCAGAGGCGTAGCGAGTGGGGGGGGGTGCGGACCGCACCGGGTGACACCATTTAGGGGGGTGACACCATTTAGGGGGGTGACACCAAGGCAAATGATAGTTAAAATAGATAGTTAAATATATAGAGAAAAATTTGAGGGGAGGGGTGCAAATCGAAAGTTTGAGGGGGGTGCAAATCAAAAGTTCGAGGGGGGTACAAATCGAAAATTGAAAGTTTGTCCCCGGGACACCATTAAGTGCCACACCAGGTGACACCCAACCTCGCTACACCACTGGATGGTTTATTATATAATGTTATAGTGGTTAAAAGGATGGGTGAATAGGGTCCTATTTTGTGTTGTTCTTTAATTTTACTTCATGAGATTTTTTGAACTTAAATGTTAAATAATACTTTGATCTAGTCATTATGAAAATTGATTTATCAAAACTGCCATTTATCCCAATAACTTTTGTATTTCTTAAAAATCAGTATTCAGAGAAGAATGTTAATTTTTATATTTAGGGGTTGGATTAGATTTTTAAGATGGAAGAGGTGTATTTTTTTTTGCTGATGTTTTGGTAGGAGGTAAAATCAAAGAAAGCAAGTTTGTTTTATTATCTTATTTTCAGTGCATTCAGAAGGTTTATTAAATATTTGCTTTTATATCAAAATAAATAATTTAAAATCAGTTTTGGTAAATTTCATCAAAATTCTAATTCACTACAGGGCACAGAGAAAAGATGGAGAGCTTATTAAGAATTTCAATTTGGTCTAGGTCACTAAAGCTACCTATTTATTTAGTATTTACTATTTAGGCCTACACCTATTTTTACGGTATTTTAAGAAATAAAGATAATTTATAATTCGTAAATTAAACCTTGTTAAAAGCAGCTTTGTAAACCAGATAACGCAGCTCTTCCTCTGATGAATTTATTTTATTAAGTTCACGCTCAATAAAACTGTTAACATCTTTTAAGAATTCTCGGTCAGCATCTGTTGTAGGAATAGCAGGCAGTCTGTTGTATGTAGTGGTTGGTGTAGAAGCTCTGCTTGATGCCATGTTTATAGCTTTTTTTTTTTAACTATATTCTAGACTAAATTGAAATAAAAGCTTGATGTCATGTTTATGGCTATTATTATTTTTAACTATATTTTAGACTAAATGCAAATAAAAGAACATATTAAGTTATTGATATGAAGAAGTCAGCCATTTGTAAACTTTCTCGTCGATAAGGAAACAAAAAGTATGCTTGATTCTTGATGCTGTACGAACAACGAAATTAATAATTTAAAAATATTAAAATATTGAAGCTAAAATTAATATCTTTTATCATAAATATCAGTTTTTAGTTTTTGTTACTTTTGTTAATACAATAATTAAATTTTGAAAAGAGTTATTTTTTAATAATTTGTTGCACGTAGGTCTGGTATGTAGCTTTTCAACTTCATCTTTTTAATTTTATTGAACAAAATGGACGAAATTGGTTTGGGAGGAAATGAACAAAAGGTATTTGATTCTAGATTTAGACTATTTAACATAAATTGGAATTTTTATATTGTATAAATACGTGTGAAGTCCTTTTTGTTGGTAAAGGTTTATTTTTCCATAACTACTTAGGCCAACTTTCAGCCACAAGCCTGTCGATCTAACAAGCCCATTTTATTTTCGCTTTGTCACTCTTCTTGGTCACTTGTTCTTGTCCAGTTTCATTCTGTTACAAACACATTTACTCAGATTACTTCTGATTGCAGAAGTGTCTTTCTCAGTTCCATATGCATAAGTTTACTTTAGATTCTAGACTAGTTACCAGCCTTTCATACACAAAATGCGATTGGCCATAATTAAAAGTAGACTAGATCTAGACTAGAGTAGATTTATAATTTTTGATGAAATAACTCACTTTAAAAAAAAAACGTGTTGTTTTATGAAATTATCATTTTAAATTACAGGATGATCCAAGCCTCCCAGACTCTCGTCCGGGAACTTCATTGGCTGGAGGGTCTGGTGATCCTATGAATCCTGATATAGAAGATCTTTATGTGAAGTATAAGGTAATGTTCTATCTGGAAGCTACTAGAATTATTTATGTAAACATAAGCTTTTAGGCCTAATTATTATGCAATTTTGTTTTTTAATAATTAAGAGACTAATTATATTATTATACTAGATCTAGAATGAGATTACTTTTACATAAAGTCTAGTTTCAATTAATTTAATTCATTGAGTATTTTTTTTTATAAGAAACTTCAAAAGCAACTGGAATTTCTCGAAGTTCAAGAGGAGTATATCAAAGATGAGCAAAAAAACCTAAAGAAAGAATACCTTCATGCTCAGGAGGAGGTTAAACGCATCCAAAGTGTTCCTCTGGTTATTGGTCAGTTTTTGGAGGCTGTAGATCACAATAATGGAATAGTGGGATCAACAACAGGTAGAGAGAAACTTCATTTTGTTTTAAAAGAGTGTTAGTGTAGTTTCTGTTAATCAAAATTAAACTTGTTCAATTTTTATTGTTCCATCCAGTTGTTTATACATTTTTTAAGAAAATTTGTACCATAAGTAATTTCTTTTTTAACATCTTGGAATAATTTTTTATGATTTGCCGAAATAATAATTTACCTCATTTATTTAGTATCCATGCAGTGAATGACACATTTGTTTTTAATTAGCCATTTGTTATACATCTAAAAAGCAAATATTTAAGCTGAGTATATAAAAAACTTTTCTTTCCTTCTTAGGTTCAAATTATTATGTGAGAATCTTAAGTACAATAGACAGAGAGTTGTTGAAACCATCCGCCAGTGTAGCCCTTCATAAGCACAGCAATGCCCTAGTGGATGTTCTACCCCCCGAGGCTGACAGCAGCATCACTATGTTGCAAGCTGGTTGGTCTTTTTTTTAAATAGAGAAAGCTTGTCACATATTTAAGAATTATTTAAATCTGATTGCTATTAAAAATTTCTATAGCTAATTTATTTTTTAAATGTTTACTATAAATCTCAACCAAGTATTTTTTTTATTAAATATGTTACTGTATGTTTCTTGTATGTCCTGTGTTAAATGTTAAACACAACAGGTTTAAATGTTAAAGATTACTTTACTTCTGACCAACTATGTCTTAGATGAGAAGCCAGATGTGGCTTACCATGACATTGGTGGGATGGATATCCAAAAGCAGGAGGTGAGGGAAGCCGTGGAGCTGCCCCTGACACACTTTGAGCTGTACAAACAGATTGGTATTGACCCACCTCGGGGTGTCCTCATGTTTGGTCCACCAGGGTGTGGCAAAACCATGTTAGCCAAGGCAGTGGCCCATCATACCACTGGTAAGCCCTTTCATGTTATCTCGCATATCGTTACTCATGTTTAATCAAGCTACAAAAACAAAAAGAAGAGAAAAACATCTTTGACTAACTTACATTTTGTCCACAGCTGCATTTATACGTGTGGTGGGATCAGAGTTTGTCCAGAAGTATTTAGGTGAAGGTCCCAGAATGGTGAGAGATGTCTTTAGGTTAGCCAAAGAAAACGCCCCTGCTATCATATTTATTGATGAAATTGATGCCATTGCCACTAAAAGATTTGATGCTCAAACTGGAGGTGAGTTGCTCAAATTTTATCATTTAAGTCTAATTAGATCTTCTGTAATTTTAAAATCCAGCTGTGCTAAAACTTGATGAAATTATTTCTCTACAGCTGATCGTGAGGTTCAGAGAATTCTTCTTGAGCTTCTCAACCAAATGGATGGCTTCGATCAAACAGTCAATGTCAAGGTTTGTAGCTCAACTTGTATACGCAAGCTAAAATTTTCTCGATAGTTTCATATGTTTGAAGACCTCACTCAAGTTCACTTGGTTACCCACTAAAACCATGGCTTTATATTTCATAACTGTATTTTATTTATATTTGAAAACAAAAACTGCAGTTTGAAAGATGTTTATTCATTTATGGCTAGGATTCAGAATTCATCATCATCATCATTCCTTTGTGGCCCCTGGGGAGCAAAGGGCTGCAACCACACTTCTCCAGCGGACTCGGTTTTGGGTTGCTCCTCTAATCTGTGCCCATGAGAGCCCAGCTGTTTTCGCCTCCTCCTCAAACGTTCTCTTCCATGTTTTCCTTGACCGGCCCACCCTCCTTTTCCCCTGGGGATTCCAGTCCAATGCATGTTGTGCGATGTTTTCTTTTTCTTTTCTTAACGTGTGTCCGATCCATCCCCATTTACGGGCTTTAATATCTTTCTCTATCGGCTGTTGTTTTAAAATTTGCCACAGGTCTTTGTTTGATATTTTGTCTGGCAGGGTTCAGAATTATTATATATAAAATTCTGTGAAATAACTACACATTCAATTCTGTAAACTAAAATCTATTATGTCTGTAGGTAATCATGGCAACAAACAGGGCAGACACATTGGATCCAGCTCTGCTTCGACCAGGCAGGTTGGACCGTAAAATTGAATTCCCTCTACCAGACCGTCGTCAGAAACGTCTTATCTTCTCCACAATCACAGGCAAGATGAATCTGAGTGACGAGGTGGATCTGGAGGATTATGTGGCTCGTCCTGATAAAATCAGTGGAGCAGATATAAATGCTATCTGTCAAGAGGTAAATACCTGATCCTTGTATTTCATCAACGTTTTCTTGTTTTAATAATGTTAAGTAGATCTGACTATTGTAGAGTTACCAAGTACAGGCAATTGTTAAATGTCCTGTCAACATTTTTTTTCTTCAGGCTGGTATGCAAGCTGTTAGAGAGAACAGATATGTGGTGCTGGCTAAAGATTTTGAAAAGGGTTACAAAAACAACATAAAGAAGGACGAGACAGAGCATGAATTTTACAAATAGCTGAGTGGAGGTTCTATCGTGATGTTTGTGTTACTTGTGTGGCAAATAAGTTATGTTCTGTTCAAACATTATTCAAGCCATTTCTGTTGTGTGGAGGGGCCATTTTTTTTTTTGCATTAATTTTTGTGGTTTGAATGCAGATGGTTGTCTTGTTTGTGGTCTCACTCCAGCTTTTATATGTCTTTTGAAACATTAAATTTTTTTGACATGACAGAGCTTTCATTGGTTTTTTTTTTAAATTGATGTAATTAATTAAGCCATTACATAGACCCAGTTGTGTTTTGAATGAGAGCTGTAATTAAATAACATCTGGAAAAGTTGGTTGTGAACCTTGTAGTAGGTAGTCCAAACTGAAATTAACTATTGATTGCAGACTTCTGGAGTGAGTATGTCATGAAAGAACTTTTAATTGTAAGCTCTATGCCACAAATTTTATAAAAATATCTTAATAAATAAAAAAGTTATGCGATTTTTAAAAAAGCAAAATTTGGTAAAAAACTGATTTTTAAAAAGTGCCATTTTTGAGAACCCATATTTTCTAAACTAAATAACATAGAAGTGTAGAAATTGGTAAGGTTACTGCAAAGTTTGTAATATATATGCCCAATTTTTTTCAGTCATCTAAAATGAGTCTTTCTAAGGTAAAAAAATAATTGAAAATGACAAAAATGCGTTTTGGTCACTTTTATTTTCAATTTTTTTTTTTTTTTTTTTTTTTTTTTGCTTTGGACATAGAATAACTCTAAAACTATTTTGTTGGTAACATTAACAGGAATAATGTGTTCATTATTTTCAAAAATCACATGAGTTAAAATATTATTTTTAAAAAATGCCACAGTTATCTAGAGCAGGAGAAACAGAATCAAAATTTAGTGGAGTAATGTAATGTAATCTAATAAAGACGTGATGCCTACAAGTAATGCAGCAGTTGCTGTTACATTCAAACCTATTGGGTTGATAACTGCTTTGGGGGAACAGTTTTTAAAACGACAACTCCACATCTTTGTATGTCTAGTTACCCCCAACCTTGATCTTGTTGAGCATCAAGAGTAAGTGATATGTTTTGGGAACTGTAGTTGGGGGGGGGGGGGGGGCTTGGCCTTCTTCCCTTCCCTTGTAAGGAAAGTTCTGGATAGGCCACCATAAATGTCTCCAGCTATGGAATAAATAATTGATTTAGTGATTAATAAAAAATAATTAGATTTACTACTAGCCTATTTTGTAGGCCTACTATTTATCCTGTGACTGTAGCTGGAAACATGAAAAAGCCTGAAAACACCTTTTTGTTTAAAGAAATGTAAACTTGATAGTATATTTTGAACATTAATTCTATTGAATGAAATATTCGTTGTTTGTGCCACAATGGTTGAGATATCCAATGATGAAGGTGCCATACTGTAGTTCTCAACATCATATAGGACAACTTAACTGTCCTTCATTGTTACTATATGCATATAAAATAAATAAATAATGAGAAGTACTACTTACACTTACAACTAATATAACATTTAAAACTAAGTCACAACATGTACAATCTTATTAAATTGCACCACCATCTAAAAATTGATCTGGTACATTTTATTAAGGAGACTGGCGCAGACCATTTCACATTATTCAGCAGGGGAATCAGAATCAAAGTGCACAACAGAAAATGGAAAATTAATCACATTAGTCCTTAAACTTTAGTGTCTTTTGTTTTAAATAAATTGATAAAAATGTATAGTTATTACAATTATAAGTTTCTTTTGTGTTTCAATAATATTTTATAAGTATTTAACCTTCGTTCCCTGTAAATAATTGAGTTCGTCCACATAGTAACCAAAAATGTCTGGTGGCCATTTTGAATTTGTCGATTCATAATTTTGACGCGATAGTCCAGATAAACTGTAGTAATACGACCCTGTCATTAATCCCATTCGATAGATTTTAAAGAATTAGTAAACACTAGCATCTAATAGTTAAGTGCATCCATATTTTAAGTCCCTAGAATGTCCTGAATTAAATAGCTTCACGTTTAAACACACCCTGTGTACAAGCGTAGTTCACACGCTAAAACCGTTGACTAGTAGGGTTCAAATTTACATTAATAACGTGTGCTAATTAAACCAAACTGACATTCAAACTTAAAATTCATTTATTAAAATGGAAATGAAACTTTAAAAATGATACTTACAACTTGTTTGAAGGCTCTAGCAAGGGTAAAATCCGTTTAGCATCATCGGTCGTCAACCTTTAAAACCGTTCGGCGAGCAACTGACTCGGGGCTGAAAGTTGACTCGAGGGTTATATGCTTATTGAGGGTACGGCTTCGCGACCGTAAATCAGAAAGACTTGAATTTACAACACAAAGTAGTTATAAAAGTGAACTTTACATCGGTGTAAAGATTGAAACAGAATTAGTTTGTTTTCGTGTATATATCGTCATTTAAAGTTTAAAAACTGATTTTTTAAAATGAAATAAGCAAGTTATTTTTTCAATTTATACATCAAACGATAGACTAGAATTCGCTCTTTAAAATGACATTAAGATTATGCTTCTACGATGCTTCGTCGCGAAGCCGCAACCAAATGAAACAGTGTGGGGTCGATCGGTACACGCAAAACGGTGAAATTTGTTGACGTAACTGATACTTTTCAAACCAATATAAAACACATTCAAACATATGTTACAGATATACAAATACCAGATTACGACAGATAAAGGCTTAAACTTTATTGACATATAATTTTTATTCTTATAGGACAACTAGAAGTAGTGAAATTTTATTTTTGAAAACCGCAAAAACTGACCCTAAAACGCACTTTTTCGCCAGTTTGGACTACCTACTTGTAGCCAATACTACTGGTGTGACTATTGAGAAATAGAGCATCATCATTCTTCTTGGGAAGTTTTCAGATTAATATGGTCAAAGTACACCTTCATAGGTTAGTTCGCTACATCAGAAACTATTGGACAGGTCTAAGGCATAAATATAATACATGTATTTTAATACATAAAAATTGCCTAATTTCTGCACATCTTCCAGCAAAAAAAAACAAACCATGACACAAATTGAAATCAACAATTTTGACCCTATAAAAGGCCTTTTGTTTATTAACAGATAGTTAAACAATTTAATGTTGCATCAAATACTGCAAGTAAAATACCATGCAACCCTTGCTATTTCCCCAGTAAAGGGATTGTCTTTAATGAGTCAGTATAATATAATCACAAGAAGAAAAATCTTATGTAATCATTGAGTTGAACAGTTTAAATATATATATGAGAATCTTATAAATTGTACAATGTGAACACTATCATGTTATAAAGACTAGCAACAGTAAATTATATTCTTTAGCAATTCATCAGTGCATAATAACAAAAATCTGGATTAAAAATTAACTTCAAAATAATTAATGATTTTTATATGCTAGTAAATTTAGGCAACAAATCTAAGCCATATTAACATGACTAGAACAACTGTGGAGGACATTATGAGGTACAATATAACTTGAGATGATGTAAATATTTGTTTTCAACACGAACATTTTTTAAAATGATTTAGTTTTAACAGCTTCCTTCATTTGTGTATCTGATAAATATTCATTCCAAAATAAGTAATGTTTGATAATGTCATTAACAATACAGACACAATTCAAATCAATATATTTTAAAAAATCAGATGTTTCTTAAGGACTATTTACATAAATTCATATAATTTGAAAATGCTATTTATTCGTAAATTCAAACACGCAGGAATATTTAAATTGTCTTTTATAGTGATTTTCTATTTTTTAAATTTGGATTTTTATAATATCTAAGACATATTTTCAAAGAAGTTAATGAGTCAATAACTTAGATCTAAACGTCCTTCAATATATGTGGATAACAAATAGATAAGATCTTGCAACAGATAAGAAAAAATTGGGCTTAAAAAAACAAAAAATCTGTTCATTCACAACCTACTTTCTTTGTTTTTTTTTTATAAAAAATATAGTACAAGTAGCTTAAGTTACAGTATAATGTAACTTTAAGTATTGTTTTTAAGCAAAAGAGCTGCCAAGCATGTTTACATTTTAAAAATTACATAAAAGCTCACTTTATCTTCATTATATCAAACCAAAGGAAATATATATATAAGATACAAAAACTTTTTTCAAACATTTATATGTTTAACAAAACTTTTAGACTTTAAATTTTTCAAACATTTTTTAAGGCACAAAAAATTCAATAATTGCACATTGTATAGAGGGTTCCCTTGATTAAAAGTCCCAGTAAAGCTTTATGAAATGCTGTTTTAAGCAGCGTCAATTATTTCCATTCAAGTAGCTGCTGAAAGTTGCCCCAGGTTAGTCCATACTCCTCAAGTCTTTCTGCCAATCTCAAATTCTTCTGAGCCAGGTAGATGCCTGCACAGAGCCCAATACCTCCACAAACGGCAGACGTTATTAAGACTTTAGTTAAAACCTGAAAAAAATTATTTTCCAAATATAATGCGTAGGCTAACAAATAGTTCTCTTTCCTAGTCTTCTAAACATGCTTTTTTTAAAAATTCATTTAAATAAAAGAAATATAGATAGTAGTTACCTTATCTTGCCACTGTCTTCTTTGAATACATTCGTGATATCTCGTCCTTGTAAAGGACACCTGTAAGTTTAAAATTTCATACATTTACACACACACATATTTGCCTATTTGTAGAGAGAGAATAAAGATAAATATATAGCAAATAAATAGCACTCTATAAAGAGGGAGATAATAAGTAGCTCTGTAGTATAGGGAAGGAGCTATGATAAATAGCTTACCATGGTATAGAGAGGTACCCAAGAATTAGGAAAAAGGTTAAACAGCAGGTTATCCAATTTCTTCCTAAATAAGAACAGTTTAGAGTTCACTCCCTTGCGCATCTGGAACAAATATAAATAGACGTAAACATTTTTGTAAAAAGCTCATTGTATTGAATGATAAGTATCTATTTTGTAAAGATTATCTGTCCTCACAAAAAAAAAAAAAAAAAAAAAACAATGTTTAAAATTGCAAAAGTAATTTTCAAATTTCTTTTGCTTTAAACAGCACTTTATTCTGCACTATTTTACTAATGTCTATAATTCAATAGTTATGTTTGTCGCACCTCAATATAATTGTACAAAGCCAGATCACAAATGGCCTTGGCATCAGGGTTTCTCACTTTAGTGTACTCTGGTAATGCCTTGCCTGTTTGGAGAAAAAAACATTATATTAAAATTTTGGCTTCAAAATCACTTTGTCTATACAATAATGTAAGTATTCTTTTAAAGTTGAATTTTTTTTTAAATTGAGGCTAGCTTTAAACTGCAGTTATGATAAAACAGAAAAAAATTCTCACTGAAGTCATCATTAAACTTATCAAGAATTTCATTGAGCACGATGCAGTCTTCCATTCCCTGAAATACATTGAACAATGGAACTTAAAGGTATAGTTATGGCAAGACACAATAGTACTTTAGAGCCTTTGACATGGATTGTTAGGTCTGAAAGGGGAACTTAAATTTCATTATTTTTAAAATCTGAAAAATCTTATAAAGTTGAAATGGACAAAGTCCAATTTTTTTTAAACCTTAAATCTGAGTATCACAATGTTACATAAGTTTTTTCAAACAGCTAGCTTATTATAATTTGTTCCTTTAAATTAGTTTTAATATAGCCAAATTGTATTAGATCCAACTTTAGGGTTCTTTATCTTTGTGTTATTAAAAAACTACAACTTATATAAATCTTTGAGTTTTAAACTAGCACTTTATGCAATCATATCTAATTTCAAAGATAGTTTACGAATGCTTTATTTTTTTTAAATGTTAAGAATGATTTTAAGCAATAAAAGTATGTTCTAGCTTTAGGCCAAAGGTAAATTTCACTTCATTAAAAAATATTTTAAGTGTGAGTTGGTTATTGCATGATTTATTAACAAAATGTAATATTTTTATTTGTTGGTTCCTCTGTATTTTTGCAACTTTTGAGAATGTGATCTTTTGCTCATGCAAACACTGGGTACTGAGTCTTCTTTCTTCTTCTTCGTTCTTAATTTTTGAAATGGTGGAGGATTCAGACAACAAGTCCAACTTCGTGGACAAACCGGACTGTGGTTTCCAGTTTGTCAGGTGTCCCATATAATTTTTCCCTGAGTGGGGTGGGCTGGGGCCAGTGTCTGTGGGTACTGAGTAAGTTTAGTTATTTGTAATTCCTACATTGTCAAGATGTCAAGTGGACCTTTGTCATACTGTAATCTCATAGTAGAAAGAAGAAAATTCAAAATGAGCTCATTCATTAACACATGACGCAAAACTTAAAAACTTTGTAGCCAATCTATTGTGAAGCATATGAAAGATGTATAACAAAGGTTAGTAAATTATATCATGGACTCACACAATTCATTCCCTGCCCATAGAAAGGAACCATAGCATGGGCAGCATCACCAAGGATAACAGCCTTGTCACCCACATGGTAAGGATGGCACTGCGAAAGGAATCAGAATATGAAAATTTTTATTTTACAAGATTTAAAAGCAAAACAATTGAAAAGTCAATAAGACTTTCTTATTGCAAGTAAACTTTAAATATACAATTATGATGTATATATGAATAGCTTGAAATTAAGCAAATATTTTATCACCTCAAGCAATATATAAAACTTTACTAGATATTTTATGTTTTATTATAGGTTCCAATTTATTCTCACTAATATAAAGTTGAAATATATATATATATATATGTTTTTAGAGTATTTTAAACAAACTGTATTCAAGTTGGTAAAAATATTTTTTGTGTACTAAGCTTCATAAATTTGATGCTAAGATCCAAAGCTACATCAGATGTTAAACTTACCTTGACTGTAATTAATGGGGATGGTTTACAAGACATGTAAGTTTTTACCAACTCCTCTCTGGGAAGAGAAAATCATTACATCAAAATTAATCTTGTTTTACAATTTTAAAGCATTATCTTGCTGCTTTAAGCCAGTCATACAATGGTACTCACTCTCCCAGTAATGGCAAGGAATCTGGAAAAACATCTTTGAAAAACTTGACCAGTTTTTCTTCAGTGTCTAATGACTCAAACATATCAAAGGGCATGAAAAGTGTTGTTGTGAATGATTTGTCCAGATTTGGCAGTGCAATCATCATGTATTCATTTCTTGGCCAAATATGAAGGTAGTTAATTTCCATGGCAAACTGATAAATATACATCATTAAAAAAGGAACAGTTACATGTTTTATAACTGTAATAACAAGACTAAAATAGAATCTTTTTTTAAAGAAGTATTCTGATAAAACTACTAATTACTTTTATAATTATCACATACAACTATGCAACAACAATGTATTTAAAAATCTATACACATCTAGTTTTTTTCTTAATGGATAGAAATACCCCATACACTAACCCAGCTCATGACTATTAACAAAACCATTTACCTCATTCTTGCTGTTTGGAGGAATGTTAAGCTCCATATACCCATGGGGAATGTACTCTTGCTGATAATCAAACCTACTGAGTTTCATCATTTGCTTTCTTAAGGCGGAATAAGCCCCATCACAACCAATGACCAGATCAAATGTTTTGGTCACACTCTGACCTTTGTCACTGTTGACAAAACAAACTCCCATTTCTTAATTGAAAACAAAATGTACATTGAAGAAGTTACTTTGTTTAGTACTTGATTAGCCATACCCAGATTTTATAACACTACCAATACTTAAAACTAAACCCAGGACTAATAGTATTGGAATTATCAACTAAACAAATAACTGGACATCATTATTGATAAGAATCATTTAACCAAATAGGTACGAATTACTACTTAAGTTATATTAACATAGTTATATACAACTTATCTGTAAAATAACACCCTATATTAATTGAACCATATTTTATGGTTTTGAAACTGGTGAATGTTAAAAAAGCAAAAATTTTAAAGTTATTTTTAGATACATCATTTTGGCTTACTTTACAAAAGTTGCTTCCCCTGTGTTAAAGTTACAGCTGACAAGCTTGTGGGAGAAATGAATTTCAACATCCTCATACTTTTCCACAGCTGTAAAATAAATTAGCCCTTTAGTTGATATCAAAATACTTAATTACAATTTTAAAAAGAAGTGTGAGATTTAAGTAGGGGAGGTAATATAATTTTTTTTAAAACATTTTAATGAAAAGTAAGACTGATTGTTGAAAAACCTTGTGTAATTATGGTAGGCTTACTCCATGTTTTAATTAAGTTTAATTTTATCTAACAAGTGAATAATTACTGCCCAAAACAAAGTAGAACATTTTTAGCATGAATTGTGAAATGGATCTTCATTGTTCTATGTAAATCTGGTTTGGTTAATAAATTGGAAAATACAAATTTTTCTGACATATCAAGTAACAGGAAACTAAGCAACCACTCAAATCTTTGTATGTAATAATACTTAATTATGACACTAAATCTACTGTTCTTACTTTTATTTTTTTGCTAATGCCTTCATTTTAATAATTTTATTGTACTGCTATTACACAACCTGTGTTTATAGAGAGTTTATAACATTAAACAGAGCTCCTAATTACAATACTGATACATTTGATGTTTAAAACTTTGGTGATTTCTTGTTTGCTTAATATATGACACCAAAAATATGACAACACTTTGACTTTACAGCTAGTGCGAATTTTATTTTTTAACTTCTTTGCTGATAAGGTTTTTATCACAGGTAAGTTTAGGAATTTTTCTAGTTATGTAAGATAATTTTTTTTAAAGTATTCACTCCATTACAACTATAATATTGTAAGTAATCTTTACTATCTCATAACAAGAAATAAATGTAGTGAATATATAATTAACAAATTCTATAGAGCTGTTAAATTAATTAACATTTATGAATTAAGTACTTGTAACAGGTGGTAAGGGTGGCAGTAATTAAATCAAATCAATAGCCCACATGAGCAATTAGTATTCAAATTAATGCTAATTAATCACCTGCAATAAACTAACCTGTCAGCATGACTTCATTTAACAAACGCCGATCAATTGACATGATGTACTGAGGGAATAAATGGTGAAAATAAAAAACTTTTTAGTTAAAATAATTTTTAAAAAGTAAACCTTTTTTTTTTTGAGATCAGATGTAGCAAAGTTAATCTGTTTCTTTGACTTCAACGTATGAAAGGATAGTTTGGTCAGCAATAGTCAGATACCCATATAAACTGTTGGGTTTCAGTAATCACTTGATAAAACCAACCCCAAAAAAAATGTTACTATATTATTATACAATAAAAACAAAACAAAAAACATATTGGGTGATTATGTTTATGTATTTATGTTAAACTATAAAGGTTAGAAATTAAATACCTGATCTTTATTGCCATACAAAATGGATCTCCGTCTTCCATCTAGATCATGAATCATACGAGCATGCATTGGAATTCCATTTTTTGTGATTGTATCTTCTAGCCCTACAAGGTTTAGGGCTTCACGTCCCCTGCAAGAGAGAGCAAGGTTGATGCTCCTTCCTTTAACAATATCCTGTGTCCGAATATCTGCAAACAAACTTGTTCTTTCAAATATTGCAAGGTCTTAAACTGTTTCTAAAACTTAGGCTTAAGTTTGAAATAACCGAAACAAATCAATTTTAAAATGTGTGTATATTACAATTTTAAGTCACTTGAAATACATTTTTAAGATCTACTAATATTATGTCTGTTGTAAGCTGAATTAATTGGGTGAGGTTAAGGACACAAGCTCACAGCACAGCTGGGTAAAAAGGCCCAATCATGTACAATGACGTTTGATTTTTTACTGAGCTAAAAACAGAAAAATATTAATCTTGATTATGTGGTGCACTTCAAGGGGGAACATATTTGTTCTACAGTACAAACACGCAAAGTATTTTCTGTGGTTAAAGTTGAACAGATGCTGGGTGATTAAGCATTTTAATTCCATTAGAGCTGTATCATGACAATATACACAGAAACAAACTCTACCATCTAAGAGAGTTCATACTTAAACTTCATTCTTATCACGCAAGCATTAGAGATTTAATATTATTATAATTAGCCATAATTAAGAACTGGCTAGACATAATTAACCTTATGACCACCTTTAGCCATGATTACAATAAAACAGCTGCTGCTGCTGCAGGTGTTACCTGGCCTCATTTCAAACAGATCCACCTTAAACCCACGTTTTGCCATGTAAATTGCGTTCAGGGATCCAACCTGATAACATGAGAAAAACAACTTTATTGTTACAAATGTTTTGTACTCTTCTTCTTCTTCTTCGTTCTTAATTATTAGTGTTGAAGGGGATCGAGATTTATCTGCCAGTGGGTTTGAACTCGAGACTTTTTCGAATTTATCAACCATGAGCTTTTTGCCGACTCGACCACGCCTCCAACACAATTAAGCGTTACGTGTCAACTGGTTATGCGCCATTGAGGCCATTGACTCCGATATCAGCCTGCTTTTCTTTTTGGATTTGCTTCCATAGCCTTTGTCCAACGAAGAACAAACTACAAGGCAGCAGTTGTTTAATTTTGGAGTTGTCTCTCCTAGAATGTTTTGTACTAAACCTTTTATCTGATTGCCATGAAACTCTAGGAAGCTGAGGATATGCCAGAGTTGGTTTCTACACACACAAATTTAATTAGGGCAGGAGGGTGCGTTTTGGCACCCAGAGTTCCACAGTGGCTATCTTAGCACCTGGGATCAATTGATTGGGCAGCCTGCACAGGGAGTCAGGGGTACTACTCGATTTAAGGGTTAAACTGCACAAGCACCTCCGATAGTCATATGACCATGTGCACCCTGGGCTCCCCTGTGAGTATTATGGCACCTACATTTGTTTTAAGAGTGCCATACACTATGGATACATTAGGCTACTATAATCATTGACAACATTGGACCAGATGCATACATGTGACTCTGGGTGCCTCTGGCTCCCCTGTGATCACTATGGTGGTACATTCATTTAAAAGAGAGCCCTTTATTAGGGATATGGAGGGTTACTAAAATAGATGACTAAATTTAACTAGGGTCATCGTCCAGCACCCTGATAGGATTGTACTATTGGGAGCCCTTTGGTTTCCCAGTGGCTACCTGTGCACATGAGGTACATAGATTGGGCATCCTGCACGGGGGTGGGGGGGGGGGGGGGGTCAGGGGTACTATTTGCTTCAACTCAACTGTCATAAGTTTGGGCAAAGAACAGCTAAGATTCAAGAAATATTACACTGGAAATGTTTACATTTAAATAACTATGTTAACTAGAAGTTAACAATAATTAGGCCTATCCTAAATAGTTACATATAGGCCTAATAGCCTAATATTGTGATTAAATTATTATATAGGCTCAGAGGTGTAGCGACCCTTCCCAGTGCCTGGTGACAAACTTTTAATTTGCACCCTTCCCCTCAAACTTTTTGATTTGCACCCCCTCAAACGTTTGATTTGCACCCCCCCCCCTCAAACTTTTGATTACTTTTACCTTTTTCCAACCCATTTTGGCGCCCCCTAATGTTGGTGCCCGGGGACATATGTCCCCCCCCCCCTGCCCCCCCATCGCTACGCCTCTGTATAGGCTAATATTAAGCCATGTGTTTTTATAAGCTTTTATAAGTTGTTATTAAAAAGAAAAGGCTAGCCAAGCATTAGGGCTAAATATTAAATTAAAAGTAAAATGAACAAATCATGTTGCAACTGTTAACAAGAAGGCAGTTTTTATCATTTCTTTCAATATTTACCCTCTTCAGTCTTTACTCTTTTAGTTGGACATATTTCATAATTCATAATACATTTTTTTTTTAAATACTCTTCTTATACCATATATATGATATTAACAAGATCTAGATCTAGTAGACTAAACCTAGTACTAGATCTAGATTCTACTAGATCTAGTAGTGAGTAGATCTAGTAAGTCTAAAAGCTAAGTGCTAAAGTAAGTACTAAAGTAGTCCAACTAATACATTTTTTATTAATATTTATTATTCATTTTAAAAAAAATTCTTACCAATCCACCACCACAAATAGCAACATGTTTCTTCTTATGCAACTGATGCGCCATTTCGTAATAATCTACTTGCAGTTTTAGTAAATGTAAAGTAGCTGTAGGACCAAACTGACTGAGTCACACAGCAACCGCAATAGCACAGCGTTAACTAATGAAACACTTTTAACAAGACCTAATTTATATAAGTACAGTACAGGATTACTGACTCGTGGCTTCTCAGTTATTAGTAAACAGGTCAACAGTCAAATAGGGGTCAAGGTTGCCAACCAGTATTTAAAAAGAAAAAACACAGGTTATTGAGTTTAGGCTAAGTTATTATAGTAGATTTTTAAAAATGCACGATAAGTAATTATTTTGTATGTAATAGAGGCTTATATTTACTTGATTTTTTTCGTTTAGGATCATGCACTTATTACGTCACGCATTTTTACCCCCACATCCCTCACCCACCTCTATCCAGTGTCATTGGGGGTGATACAGTGTCGCCACAAAACTTCCCCAACTGTATCTTTCAGTGCCCCCTCCCACCCACGGAGAAAAAAGTCTGAAAGAAACACTGATGTCTGCCTAAAACTACGGTCACACTTCAGCCTAACCCACCACTTCTCACCAGCTACTTAACAACCATTCGTTGTCGCTAAGAGAACTTCGCCATGCAGTAATGTATCCAGGGGAAGCATTGGGTGGGGGCCTCGAAGGGGGGGGGGGGGGGTCAGAAAGTGTGTGAACCCTGTTGCATTTGAAACATCAATTTCTGGAGCTGAAATTTTTAGCAGGTTGTTTTTTTCCGCATTTTTAAATACTTTATTGCAAATTTAAATTAAACCTGACCACCTTACCGAATTGGAATTGTGACGATGGGGAGTGGGTGATCATCGACAAAAAAGCGTGACATCATTTATAGATGACTCGTGTGTAATTGATTTTGAATGTATTTTATACTTTTATTTCTTTTGTACCATAATACAAAATAGAATATAAAATTTAGCCTGAAGACTGACACTGGTGATACTTTTTTGGCAAATATGTTACAAAATAATCTGGCAAGTGTTTGACCTACCGTTCCAAAATATTAGCCTGCACACTAGTAGAGTCTAGATCTAGATCTACATTTAGAAATCTAGTAACATTTCTTTACTTCAGTAAAATTTTACTAAAAGTTGAAGACCGTAGTCGTCTTTTAAAAATATATATCTAGACTATAGATCTATATATAATTAATTAATTGTCTGTCTTCAGTTTGGATAGTATAATAACGACGGCATACAAGTGACAAGCCAACAACATTTTTTACAACAAGCTATCAAACTATCAAATTTGACAAATAGAAATTTATAAATATTATATAATATTTATAATAGAATCTAGACTAGATCTAGTACAAATTAATCAAATACTAAATAGGCCTACGGGCACGGGGCTAATGACCTAAGCCTAATCACTGACTAATCAGGACTAATGTTTTTTGTTTTTTTGTACATTGAAATTGTTAATGTTATTTGACTTGACGATATGTCGATATGTACTTACTTGTGTTACTTGACTTACACTTGATCAGTACTTGAAGTTGAATGTGAAACTTTCTAAGCTAAAAAATGGGTAATCTATCGTTTTTAGGTAGAAATCTACGTAAAATCGCCCGTGGCTAGTAATGTACGAAAAAGTCACCTCATTGTCAAGGCTTTAATAGAATAGAAGTATTAGATCTATATTGTGATATATTTGTGTCAAATATTATAGAAAAATTAATAATAAACCTAAATCAATGGCTAAATTAAATATAATATTGATTAATAATATATCAAATATAGGCCAGAAGTTAACTTTAAACGGCAGTGTTTGCGAGCAGGATTTGCTATAAAAAGCGGCCATCTGTAAGTTAGAGTGGCTTCCCCTGAATTTCGCGCTATAAGTTTACAAAAAAAAAATGGCTGCTATAGTAAATGAGCATGGTTGCATCTGTTGGAAACATCGCTAGTCTTCATTTATTACTGAAAAGTTTTGATTCAATTGTTTAAAAACAGGTACATAAGATTAAGAAACAAGGAAACATTTTTGAAAACATAAATCCTCCTCAAAATGTGAAATAATTATTAAAATTTAAGGAGTCACCTTTTTTTCAACCTAAAATGAGGGCCTAACTCTCTTACTAAAAGTAAAACTAGATCTAGTCTACACGAAACTTGAAACTAATTGTATCATGTGGTTGAGCTGTTACACTTTGGGCGGATCATCAGGGGATAGAATCTAGCTATTAGCCCAGTAGGTATATCAAGAACTAGTAAAGTGATCTACCCGCCTAAAGTATAACATCTTTAAAAAAAATACTTTTAATAGCATATTTAAATTTACTATTTAAGTTTTTATCATGTTAATCCCATCAGTGCAACTCATAAGCCTGAACAACAAACATGTAGATGACAAGAAAAACCATGTCTCTGTAGCACTGTTTAGTAAATATGTGCATCTTCCTCCGGCTAGAATCGGCCTAACTAATATCTGGTCTAGTCTAGACTATTCTAGAATCTAGATGTACTCCACTTATTTATCTACATTTCTAGAGACCAGATCCACTTTTTTGCTCTGTACTCACAACTGCACTTTTGACACTTTATTAAATGAATAGTGCTCTCATTTTTTAGATATATTAATTTATCACATACCCCATCATATTGACCTAGATCTAGATATCAATAAATGACAAATGAGAGTGAGTAGACCTAGAAATCAAGATTAGGACTTAGGTTACTGCTTGACCTACATTTTTAAGCTGGTGCCTTGGTAATGATGGCTGCCAGAAAAGACTAATCCACCTTTTCATTTTTACAAAGTTGAGCGATCATTTCAAATTCTACAAAAATACTGATTAGATTATAATAACCAATGTTTTGTGTTTGCAATGCACTTTCCATCTGCGGTATATTCTTTTCATTCAACTTGAGTAAAAGGTAGCATAAGATAATGTAAGAACTAAAAAAGTAACATCTTTTTGCATTAAAATCATTAATTGACATTTCCAAAATGTTGGTTAACTGATAGAAAATTAACTGCCCAGCCGTAATAAACTAATCTAAATCATTTAAAATATACTTGACCCTGAAAATAAAAATTTGAAAATAATGACTTAATCAAGACAAACAGTCAACTAAGCCTGCCCATTTTGCCCGGCTTGTATTGGAATGAGAAGAACTTAAGCAGACGACACATTTGTGCTGAATGGTCCATCGTGTCAAGACAAACAGTCAACTAAGCCTGCCCATTTTGCCCGGCTTGTATTGGAATGAGAAGAACTTAAGCAGACGACACATTTGTGCTGAATGGTCCATCGTGTCACAACAACTCTTATTAAAAACTAACCCACCATATAAGCCATAGCATTGTAGCCATTTAAAAAATCACATTACTAGATGAGTTGGCCTATAACTAGATGAGCAGACCTGACTAATGACTTGAGGAACTATACAATGAATTTTAAAATAAATTTTAATAAATTACTGTAAATAATTAGTATTAGGCCTTAAATGTGGATTTTTTAATTAATAATTAGGCCTAACAATTACTATTAATTTCATAATAGAAACCTAGTCACTTATTTAAACTGAGACAAAATTTTATAAAAACAATTTTTTTATATAGGTAGACCTATAATTATTAATTAAGTATAATATAACAAAATCTGCCCTACATTTTATTACTATTTCCATTCTAGATATCAACTGAACAATATACTGCCTGGATCATATGTAGATCTATAAACGCTTGAGACATTTTGTTATGGCTGGAATTAGAAGTGGAAGGAGACTAGTACAACTGTTACCAGTCAGATTATCTTTTGTCCCTGTCAGAAATAAAAAAATAATTAAGTCAGAATCACTCACTCTGTTTGAGTTAAATAAGAAAGGGACAAGTTATGAATTACCTCCAGGTAAAAGAGAAATGTTAAATGTGGGTGAAGAGTTAAAACAATGGTTCAGAGAAACAAATGAATTGATTCATAGGAATCCAATGCTGAAATGTGAACATGGAAATTATGAAGTCATTTTTCGGTAATTAAATGAGTGTCATATTATATTTCACTATATTGTGGGTTTAGAACAGTTTATTCTTAAAGGGAAGAACAGACAATTGACTTTAAGAATTTTATTGTTTCAAATGTATCAACATTATGACATTGACCCACTTGATATCACTGAGAAAATATTTAATGACTAAATGAATTTTTCAGAGACAGCTATGACTAATGTGAAACTTGGTTATCAAGAGACAATTTAACTTAAAATAACTTATAAATTTAAGAAATAATTTGGTTATTAATATTACAATTTATCATGGCGTAATTGTTTTTAAACTTTTAGTTTAAATATTATATTTCCTAAAATTTATATGTCTAATTTCTGCTTTTAAAAAACTAGAAATAATTGGGTTGTTTTTATATTTTTGAGAAATTTGGCTACATTAAAAAATAATTCTAAAACACATTTTAAAACCTTTTATGATATTATACATTATTAAATATTAAGGTTTGTGAAGCCGAGTTTTGGGTTAAATGTCATGTGACAGAAATTAAAATATAATAGCAGTAATGTATATATAAATATGTATTATGTATACACAAATGCACACTTGTAATGGAATATATATATATATATATATATATATATATATAAGTAAAATTCACTTTCGAACCTGCTCACTGGTTTGTTATTTTTTAAGGGAGTATGGTTTGATTCTAAATTAAAATATTTTTAGGTTGTAATAGTTGTATGTGTAAATAATAGTAAATATATTACAATTAAACTGGAAAATTAAAACTAAAAATATAATTGTTCAATCAGATTCAACAATCCAGCGGCTGTCAAGAGCTGGATTGTGAGCACAGACAAGGATAACGATACTGGAAAAAGTAGTGCTGAGTTCACCTTCACAAAGAATAGCACAGGTCTATTTCATGGCTATCTCTCTAAAGAAGTGCCCAAGGATGGGAAAACTAAATATGCTGGCTATGCCAATATTACATGTCCCAAGCCACTTGTAAGTGTTATTTGTAAGGATGGTAGTTGTGTACCCATGCAAAACACTTGGGGGATAACTATATATTCCCAATACATAATTTGTTCTGACCTGAAAATGATGTCGTTTTTATTCAAGTCCACTGTAACTAAATCATGATTTTAATAAGTCTGATAATTTAGCAGTAAAATTTATGATTTATGTCATTTACAACTTAATATATTCTTTTTTTATGTAACACGAGTAGAGTACACCTATAGCATTTTTCTGTAAATTTATTAAGTCAGATAATAAATTTACAGAAAAATGCTACAGGTGTACAGTCAGATCAGCGTGTTTCAGTTTTTGCATTTTAATCATGCATATTACATAATGCAGAGAAATTTTTTTTTCAGAAAGCGTTCAAAAGAGATACCAGTTGGGATTGGTCACTTTTTAATTGTATGTTGCTCAAAGTCCGGGGTGATGGAAGGCCTTACTCCCTAGTCATTGGTTGCAATTTTGAATTTGATATCAACTGGCTGAACCGGTGGCAGTGTCCTCTGTATACTAGAGGTGGGCCTTACTGGCAATTAGCTAAGGTGAGTATATTTATCACAGAGGCGTAGCGGGGGGGGGGGGGGCAGACCGCACCGGTTGACACCATTTACGGGGGTGACACCAAGTCAAAAAAAAGCAAAATATATAGAGAAAAATTTGAGGGGGGGGGGTGCAAATTGAAAGTTTGATGGGGGGGGGGTACAAATTGAAAGTTTGTCCCTGGGAAAGGTTGCTACTGGGGGGTGACACCATGAAGTGCCCCACCGGGTGACACCTGACCTCGCTAGCCATAACTTGTAACAGGTCCTTAAAAACAGTTTTAGTGACTCATTTTAGTGAGTTGATGTCATTAAATTAAAACTACGCCAGATTTTAATTAGAGAAATTATGTTTATAACATCCAGTTGTAAAATAGTTGTTAAATTGCTACTTTGTAAGCTGTAAATTAACTTATTTAAAAAAATTCCTTGTTTATATTCTCTTAGATTTTTAAAGGTGTGTTTGTCTTCAACAGGTTCCTTTCTCAAATTTTTTTTTAAGTCACCATGGACGCATTCAGGACAAGCAAGAGTACCCTGAATTAACAATTGTCAACAGCCTGGGCATCACAGTAATGGATGCTGCAGAAGGACCATTTGCCTTAGAGATTGAAAGCATAGCCCTCATGTATGATATGAATCTCTCAGATACATCTAGATATGAAACTTATCATCTTAAAAATTTCATGGATTGATCACAGCTAGTATTAAAATAAGTATATACAAAATTTAGTTGGCTGTTTTTAATGTAACTGAAACTTGTGTCAATAGGAATTAATAACTACCAGTTGTGATGAAAAGGTGTGTTTACAAATTACATTATTTATTGGTGTGATTGAAAAGTAAAATGCTAGTATGTTGGTAGTAAACACTTTATTTACAGATGTTTTCTTTGGTACAAATACTGCCATCAGGCATAAAGTATGACTTGAAGCTCTATATGGTGCAAGTAGGAGTTTTTTGTGATCAGGCACACAGTTGCTAACCCAAAATTTGAGCTTGGTTCCTGACCCTAGTCCATGAGCTCAGCCATGGTAGGGCGTGGTGCAACACATTCCTAGCATATGTAGTCATACAGGTCAACATACGTTTTTTGAAAGATATCAGGTCATAAAAGTAACACATTATCTTTATTAATTATGAATGCCTTAACTTGAACTTAAATGTTCAAAGTTTAATTTGTAAGGAGTAAACTGTTTAAATTTAAATTAACCAGTAGTTTACAACTTTGAGAATGCCTGGTTGTGTACACTTCACTAAACATGACTTTTTAAGTTTTATTATGAATTATGACATTTAAATCACTAGTTATAAATATAACTGCTATTACAGCCACTGGTCATTTAAATAATTAGCCCTGGGTAAACCTGACAATGCAAAACAGACCATAGTGGTAACTTCTTTACACGAAAATGGTATTCAAACTTTTTGATAAAGATGACTGCTATATTACCTGATCAAAAGGTAATGTTCTGACAATTGGCAAGGATGAGTAGTCCTCAGAAGAAAACACAAGTGTATATGTGTTGCTTTAAAGAAATGAATTATCAAGATGTAAAAGGGGTAAACTGTTTACAATCTGGTAGAATGGTGAACATTGCTGAGTTGTATTTGAATGGACATAAATAATGAATAGTATATAATCATATTGTGGACAAACAACACACCAGACATAAGCACTTGAATACTAGACTGTTTTGTGTAACTTAGTGAAGCAGTCATTAAGTATAATAGCATTATATCATTTACAGAGTAAATTACAGTGTTTAACAGGTTTTTATTAAACTGTTACATTGTACTTTGAGCTTAAGAAGCGTAAAATGTAAAGGCATTCCCTATTACATGGACATGTGAACTAAAAAACCTAACCCCATGCTGTTTAGAAAAAGGATTGAACTGTTATAGTTATACAGCTTTTTAAAAATTGGAATTAAAACTACATGGTAATCTGGGTTACAATTTCATAAGTATTCCAATACTATCCTATGAATCATGATAATAATTGTACAACTGATAATACAAGGGAAAAGAAAGCAGGGAAGGCCAAGGGAGATGGGGAGGAAGTACTTGCAGAGGCAGGACTGTCATGGAGGGGCTGCCAGAAGAATTGCCAGAGGCTGACAAAAGTGGAGGGAGGCCCATGTTTCTTGGGTGCATAAAGAAAAAGATGTATACAGTGAAAACTGTACTGAAATGCAACAAGTCTAAGATATAAATGCACTGAGTGGAATACTTTTCCTTTGTTATAAACATGGAGGCTAAATTCATATCAATACTGAACTTTTAAACTGAAGATTTGTTTCTGCTTTATTACATTGCAATACCTAGGGATTGTGGATTAATAATAGATCACAAAAATCTTCATCATTAAAATGTTATACAGCATTTCCATAGACCACCACAAATAACTATTTAATAATAAAAAATTATTTTTAAAATAAATTATGATTATGAGAATAACATAATTTTAAATGTTGATGGAAATAGAAGCAATGGTAAAGCCTTATTTTTAAAAAAAATGTGTCACCTTAATTATCCAATCAATATTTAATAGTCAGAAAATTAATTAATAAAATATTTCATTAATTATAAATGCCTCAACTTAAATTTGCCATAGTTCAACTGATAAAGAAGGATTACAAATACTATTTCAAATGTATGCACTAAACTGTTTAAAATTAACCAGCAGTTTACAACTTGGAAAATGCTTAGTCATATAATTAAACACTGCATTAAACAAGAATAAAATAAATCAAAGGCAGTGTTATTTAACATCATATCACCCCTGACCTACACTCAAGAAAATGACAAATGTTAAAATAATAAAAATATGTAAAGTTGTATAATATAACAGAATTAGAACATTCTATAACCTTAAAGAGAAAGTCTAATCAACATGGAACTAAAGGCATTGTTCATGTTAGTTATTCTTTATTATTTTTAATCTTCGTCGCCAAGTCAATACATAATCCACTCCAGACATGAATGTGGTTACTGCTGTCAAATACCTGAAAGAGACAGGATTTGGATGTATACATTTAAATAGCATACTTAGAAAATCTATTCTTTTAGTTAATACTGAATCTTACATGAAACCCTCCAGCCATGGGCTACCAACAAAATCAAAGACAGGAGATGCCAATGTTGCAGCAAGGTATGACAACTGAAGTCCTGTATTCACCTGTAAAAAATTTTATTCTTTAATTAACACTTTTGGATTGATCAGAAAATAATTTTATAACTTTTACAACTAAGTTTATTGAACATAAAAGCTTAGAACTGTATATATATATATATATATATATATATATATATATATATATATATATATATATATATATATATATATATATATATATATATAATTCTCTTCTGGGATCAGTTAGAAAACAAGCTGCAAGCGCGCCTTTGCAGTCCCCTCTCTTCCTCACTATCACTACCACCCCCACCCCACCCCCACATGATCTGGTGAGCGGTGTTCACTCTGTTTACATTTTACAATCATAGAGACGGGTTTGGTGACGGCTATTAGGGGCAGATAATTTAGTTTGAAACAATTTTAAACTTAGAGGAGGTAACTAGGCCTAAGAGGAGGCTGCTTTCACGGGGGGGGGGGGGGGTTAGTGTTTTTAAGCAAATATTTTCAATGGCAGCATTGGTACTGTCAAATTCACAAATTATAAATTACTGAAAAGTAGAAAAAAAACAACTAAATAGCGGCGTATGATACGCAGCGGGTCGGCTTGTATATATATAATTCTCTTCTGGGAGCCGCTAGAAAACAAGCTGTAAACGCGCTCCCTACCTCCCCACCCCTACATGGTCTTAGTGAGCTGTGTTCACTCTAAATGTTTACAAGCAGAGCCAACGATTTTAAACGTAGGGGGGGGGGGGGGGGAGGAAGGGTGGGGGGGGGGGGGGTTATGGTCCTTAACGAGCTACTTATAGTGTTTTAAAGAAATATTTTCAGTGGCAGCGTTGGTACTGTCGAATTCACAAATTATGAATTATTGAAAAGTAGAAAAAACAACAACTAAATAGCGGCGTATGTTATGCCGCGGGCCGGCTCGTATATATATAATTCACACAAACCTTGCTTATGTTTGAGGGGTAAAGTTTAGCTGTTACATGTGAGACATCAAAGTATCTGGATAATGTTTTCTGAAATAACAGTTAAAAACTTTACACACAATATTACATTATTGTTTGGCAATGATATACTTTCCAATGTTATCCCATTTAAAATCAATTATTTTCACATTTTAGTGTAGTGTACATCACAGGTGGGTTTAATAACTACTTATGATAATGTTTACAATGAATGTTTTCCAAACTTCCAAATTAGAGATGGTATTAAAGAGCATGATTTAAGTCTTGTTACTGTTAATTCTTACTGGAGGTGCCAACGAGATGTATCTTATGTAGAACGAAGCAACTATTAGCCCTGCGTCTCTCAACAAGATCAGAGCTAGCATAGGGACTAGAAATAAAACATGTAATGTTTGAAAATACAAACAATGTTATGTCCTACAAATGAATTACTTTTTTGTTTTACTTTTATTACTTAAGAAAAAGCATAAACAAATTACCTGGAATTAGGCCAGCAGATGTAAGAGAAATGCCCAAAAAACTAACAAGTAACTTGTCCGCCAATGGATCTAGAGCTGTTCCCAAGGCTGTTCGTTGATTCTTGAAGTTCCGAGCGATGTAACCATCTAACTGTAAATTTTAAAATAATATCTGCATCATAATTTAAAAAAGACTTTAAAAATACATCACTCTGTAGTAAAACGTTAATTCATACAGAAGACATACTTCATTTGTAAAATACTGTACTAGTAGCACAATTAAGTCACGAAACAATTATTGACTCTTACTACATCAGTTAATCCTGCTAAAACAAAAATGCTACAAGCTGCTCCAAAGTGATCATGTACAACGAGATAAGCAAGGACTGGTGCTGAAGCCATTCTTAAGGTTGTCAGTAAATTGGGAATTGTTCTGACATCTTCTTTCTGTTGTAAATTTTTTTAAAGTTAAATTATTAGTGAAATTTCATAGATATACTATAATATTGTCTACTAGCATCAAAACTGACCATTTGGTAAAAATATAAAAAAAACACAACTATATGATTCTTTCAAAAACATCTAAATTAAATTTGTCAAAGCTAGGATTTAGGAGTAAAAGCTAGGATTTAAGAATTATTTCTGCTTCTTGTTGATTAGCTATAGAATACTATAGATACATTTATTAGGCTTGTAACAGTTACTAATTAGGTACCTATTAAAGAAAAACTGAACTCAGCCAAACACTATTAAGTATTATAGAACAGATCAATCATTGTCATACTAAGCTACCTTAAACAAGCAAAAATTTAAAAAAAGTAAAAATGCACCTTTGCTTCCAGCTTCCGTTTAATTTTATTCACATTCAAAATACTCCTATCTCTGTGCAACTGCAATTTCTCCTTCAACAAAATCCTCTTCAGTGTAATACTGTTTTTAAGTCTTGAAATTCTTCCATTAAGAATAATTCTAGTTTTATCTCGTACTTTGCTTCTATTATTTGAAATTTTAAAGACAGAATTTGTGTTTTCAAGGGTGTTATTATTTTCATTGCATGTCTTTTTTCCATAATGAATGCCTCTTTCTACATTTTTTGGAAAACTGTTTAAAAAATACTTTTCATCCCAGCAAGGAAGTCTTTTAACCCCTGTAAAACTATGAAAATGTTTCTTTTGATCTGGATATATTAGGCCTGTGCTGTTCAATAAAAAAGCTAGTTCATTGTGCAAATTATTAGAACTTCTACAAAATATGCCAAATCTCATCAAAGGCCTTGATCTACATAATTCATTGCAACTTTTCACATGAATTGATTTCTGATTACTGTAATGTCTCTTTCCATTTAAGGAACTAATCCTTTTACAGTGTTCAACTTTAACCTTTGACCTATGTTGTGTTAACAAAATTTCACTAAAGGTACTAAAACTGCTCAAAGGTCCATGAGTTCTTTCAGGATTAATACAAATTTTTGCTAATTTCTTTGGTATACTCCTGTTTATCCCAAACATTTTTAAATCTAACTTTAATATAACACTTTTAACATAGTAAATTTGGGGAGACTGCAAGAAATGTATGTAGCACAGTATTTCTGTTGCGATGACCCCAGTTGACCTGTCGTTTCATACACGCATTCAATGCCGCATGATGTCGATTGCATAATTTTGTAGATTGTTAAAAGTTACTGTAAAACTAGCAGTGCGTCTGCAATTAGATCTCTACTACTGGGAAAAAACGATTAATCAGTGATGTAAATGACGCCTTTGTCCTTTTTTATTCCATTTCTCCCAGAAATGTTTCTAAACAACTGCGTCGACTCATGTTCTTATCTTTCTTAGGCCTTAGGCTTCGGCCTCACCTATCTACAATAACATAAGAAGTCTTCATTTTGTAAAGTTTAGGAAACAGTCTTCTCAGATTTTTTTCGCATTTTTATTCATGAACCCTTGAGGTGTAGTGACATATCTGAAGACTATGGGAGTGGGTAGGTTTAAACCCAGAGTGGCACTGTGCAACGTGGGGTTCAAGAAATGAGAGGTAGCTGAAGTATTTTCATTAAAGAAAACTGGATGAAAAGTATAAATCAATTATGTTAGAATTACGGTAATTTTGGCGGGGGGGGGGGGGGGTGTTGGGGGGGGGGGGGGTGTTGGGGGGGGGGTGGAGCGCTGGAATTTTTGGGAAGGAGGTTCTACTTATATGTTGTGACGTGATGATTGGGGGTTAATGATATCCAAGTCAGCCTGATATCATTTATGGATGAAACCTTATACTTAATTATCATATCATTCTTTATTATACTATAACATGCTTTTCTGAGAAGCAATGGGTTTTTAAAATACTCAATCTAAATATTTTTATGAGACAATTTTGTTATTTATAATTTATAGGCCTAATGTACAACTGTCCTGTGACTGTCATACTTAGTTGTTTTTTGTACTCAACAGAAAAAAAAAAAAAAAAATTTAAGAATGTAATTCTTTTGTAAATTTAAAATCATACATCTTTAATAAGTGCATCAAATGTTTAATAAATTAACACTGTTAATTCACACTATTTCAATTCAGCAGTTTTGAAATATCTTTATAACAAAATACTTTAGCACTTCCTTGAACCTTTTACAATAAAGGTATCCTGTACTTATTAGAGAGGCTATACATTACAGATTATATATATTTGTAATTTTAAAATATGTATTCCTGCAATCAGTTATTGCTTTATACACATCAGACAACACTTGAAGGACTAGAACATTTTAATACAAGTTTCTGTTAGTACATTTACAAATAACAAAAGAAACAGATCAAGTACTGTATTATTCTCACAACTTTTTAATATCTCCTTTCAGTAAGTTAAGTTTCATTTGGAGTTCTGTTAAATTGCTTTGTAGATCTATTCTCTTCATTCTTAGAGCTTTGACAACATCTGTTGATTAAAAAGAAAAAGTGAACTTTGACGGGAAAAGATAACAAATGATAAACACCAACATGGAATCAAATGGGTTGAACTAGCAATGGAGCATTTAAATATTTTTTTAAATCATGTGCAGTGGTATTAAAACATGTGATCATAAAAACATGATGTTTTTTGGATCCTTTTTGTACAAATTCAGAGCAATATTTTAGGTAACTAAACAATATTTGAAAATAAAAAGCCAAACATTTTTTTTTCTTCTCTTTACCAGAAGTTAATGTAATTTAAGTGTGTACAAACAAGCCATCAGGTCATGCTGATGTACAATAGTATAAATAAATATTTAAAAGAAGAAAGAGGAACCTATAGTAGGTAGATATGTCAATAGAAATGGAGCCTCAAAGTAAAAACAAAATCCAAAGTAGACAATTTTTATTACATTGCCTACATTATATGAACATTGAATTTTAAATTTTTTTAAAAAATATTTTTTTTAAGTTAAGATTACTCAGACAACAAAATGCACACAAAAACATGTGTACTATTCATGTCAACAATAATGATCTGGTCCAGCAAAGCTGGCAGATGCCATTAAAACTTAAGTGGCAAGTCTTCCAAAATACAAATATTATAGAAAGGCTTTGTTTAGCATCTGCAAAAATGTTTAAAGCCTACTTACTTTTGCAGATCTTCATATAGATAATAACAATGATTCTTACCTTCAACAAGGTGAGGATGTGACACTAATTTCTGAGAAATGTCTAATGCCTGCTGCTCAGCTGTTGGAATAATTCTGTTACCCTTTTCATCAAAACACCACTGTTTTTCAAGTCTTAGTACATTGACTTCCTGAAAATAAATAAAGGTAAAGCCAATGATAAAATAATATTTCACATTTTGTCAAACATCTGAATTCAAATTAAAAGGCATGATACATTTACATATGAGAGTTGCATTTTGTTGTTGTTTTTTTTTTTCATAAAATTTAATGTAGATAATACAAAAATAGTGAATAAAGTAGATCTAATATTAAAAAGTTTCTGAGTCCACCCAGCTCTGATGGGTACCTAACTCATGTTAGGGAAAGTAAAGGCGGCTGGGCAAAGTGCTGAGCCCATCTTCCCTTCATATGCCAAGGTCAAGAAACATATGATTATGAACAGTATTATCATTATGAACTCTACCTACTTCTGCACCCATTATTGGATTGCTAGGTCTTAAGAGGATTCTTTACTTTTTTTAATATCATTAAAAAGAGTCACAGGCATCTGATTTGCGGTTAGATAATCTCTAGATTTAGTACTCAGTGGTGTTTTAAAACTTTTCGCCCTGTTTTTTTTTTATTAAGCCTATTAATATAATAATTATAATTATAATAATATATAATATATAAATAAACACTAGATCTACATCTATTTTTATTACATACATCTATAGTTCTATAGTATATAGTGAAGGCCACTATTATATAAATATATGCCTATCTTATTACTTATTACAATATTCAATATGTGAATGTACCTTTTCAACAGCGCTGATTTCCTGATTTGTTGCTTGTAGTTGCGCTTCTTTTAACTTGCAGCTGTGAGTGAGTGATACAAAAGTTATGTAATCAACATTGCCTAGATCTAGATCTTTAGTTTTATTATTGTTGATAGGAAACGAACTAATGCTATCTTCCATGACTATCTAATAATATCTAATCATGAGTTAGATGTAGATCAGTAGTCCTCAATCCTAAACTAAACAAACATCACTCAGTCACTGATACTCATAGTCTAGTGATAGTTCGTAGGACTGTAACAACTGTAGTCCTATTTTGAAAATAAAATCCAGAGTTACCTACCGTAGACTGTAGCGTTTAGAATCTAGACATTGTAGGCCTATTCTACGTTTTATTAATGGGTTTCACGACCTAGATCTAGTTTCTAGATCTAGACAGAGATAGATCTAGTTAAGATCGAGATTCTTGATCTAGGCAGTGGCGTAGCGAGGTCGGGTGTCACCCGGTGCGGCACTTAATGGTGTCACACCCCCCCCAGAGGCGTAGCGACCCTTCCCGGGGACAAACTTTCAAATTTTCTATTTGCACCCCCCTTCCCTCAAACTTTCGATTTGCACCCCCCCTCAAGCTTTCGATTTCCCCCCCCCCCCTCAAACTTTCGATTTGCACACACCCCCCTCAAATTGTTCTCAATATATTTTGCTAATTTTTGCCTTGGTGTCACCCCGCTAAATGGTGTCACCCGGTGCGGTCCGCACCCCCCCCCCGCTCCACCCTCGCTACGCCTCTGGATCTAGGGTACCGCGTTAGTCTACGGTCTTGTTGTTGCCCCACCCCCACCCCCTCAATTTTTTTTCCGCTTGTCCCTTTCCTAAAGGATTCGCCAATAGATGCCAGGGAGGGGGGGGGCGTTTTGATAATAATGTGGGGAAATGGGTAAGGGGGGGGGCGTTTGTTATTTTTCAAATTATTTTTTAAGGCAATTTTAACATCATGTACACATCTAAAACAAAGATACTGATATGTTATTGATATAATTTATTTTTAACATGTGGAGAAAAAGCGTGAACACCAAAAAATTTGATTTTCTATACATTTCTATATACATTTTTGTAAATAAGAAAACTAAAAAACTATGACATAAATATAATAACATACAATCATATAGTTACATTTAGAATTAGGTAAAGAACAACCTGATAGAAGGATTTCCATATATGACACACACTTTTTTTAAATATGAATTTTTTAACCATGTGACGCAGTGAAAAAAGCCTTTATTTATAATAGATAGATATAAATTTTAAGAGACTATAAAAAGTAGACAAACAAGTGTATCTTTTTAAGCTTCTATCGGGTTAGAGATAAACAATCTATATAAGTGCTGTGCAAGTTTCAATGACAGTTTTTGAGATATCCTAATTAGAAATCATGATGATGTTTTCACAGAGGGACAGTCCTGATGTTGTGGCTTGTCATCAGTAGACGAAGCATGTAAAAAGCTGGACCAAATTTTCCTTTGCAGCTCCTCAGTTGTGGAACACTTGCAGGCTATAGCTTGTCAGCAAATTGATTTTCAACTGTGTAGTAACATAATAGGTTTGTAAACATATTAAAACAAACTAAAACCTAATAATAATAGTAATAATAAATATATTTTTAAAATTTCAATGAATTTGTGATATTACCTGAGTCAAGCTACCAGTCTTCCTTCCACCAAGTGGGTTTCCACGCTTGAATTCTTTGCTGACCAGGTTTCTGAGGGCTGTGCTTAGATACACGGTTCGTGCACTCTTCTTTTACCATGTCCACATCATTAGGTTTCAGCTGTAGCGCTTGCTGTCGCCATGACTAACAACAGCAGTGTAACGAAGTTTTATACATCACTTGGGAAGCTTCCATCTCCATCATGCCAGATGAGCCTTGGTGATTTATCTGGCAGCTTCTCTCGTGTTTTCCAAACCATGCATCATAAGCAACTGGACCTTGTCTCTTCGTGGCAGCACCAGAAACTGCACAACTCTGAAACTAGTACAATTATAATAGACACTGTCTAAACTGGTAATGTTCATTTTTTAAATAAAAACTTTAATTGTTCCTAAAATATTAAACTTACTTGGCCATAGGAGCTCACGATACAGAAGTCAACAACAAACCCCGTTGTTACTTCTATGACAGCAGCGATACCTTGTTTTGACGTGTGACCTCTTTTGTGTCAAGTGCCATCAAAGCTGACCAGAGGCGTAGCGAAGGGGGGGGGGGGAGGGGGTACATATGTCCCCGGGCGCCGACCTTAGGGGCGCCAAAATGGGTTGGAAAAACAAATTAAAATATTAGTTTAGCTGCATTTTTGCTTTATAAATATAAAAAAATATATGAGGGGAGGGGGTGCAAATCGAAATTTCGAGGGGGGGGGTGCAAATCGAAAATTGAAAGGTTGATCCCGATGGGGCGCCAAATTGAAAGTTGGTCCCCGGGCGCCGGGAAGGGTTGGTACGCCTCTGAAGCTGACACTAACATCTAACATCTCGTTGACATTGTGAACTAGTCTCACCAAAGCAACTGCGTTGTCTACCATGTATTGGGAAAATTATCAAACTCTTTTGAAATAGAGCTGACAAGTTTTGTATATCTTTTCTCTGTCCTACCGTCATACCTTCAATGGTCAGGGCTTCAGAAAAGTGATCCATGGCAGACTGCAGAGAATCCCATTCCAATTTTGGCAACACACAGCCACAATTCTTTTATTTATATCAAATGTCTTCTCTTTGGAGCTAACAGCAGAAGAAGTAGTTGCTGTAACAAGAACGGTTTCACACAAAGGACGCTTTGATGCTTGCGACTTTTAGACGAGTGGACCCTCATATTGCAGGTAAGGGATGTAAACAGATGACTAAGCTGCTTCAAGTCCACTATAACATAGCCCAGAGCTGAAACAGGTGAACTAGATGCACTGCTTGCAGTAAGATCCAGCTTTCGTTTTGATGCTGAATCAGGCATCTCGACAATAAATTTCTTATTCTACAGCAGCAGAAGTAGGAGCAGAAGTAGGAGTGCCCTGTGGAGCTTCTCGAGCTTTAGCTAGAGCTGCCTTTCTTCCTTTAGGGGTCATCCATAAATGACGTCACAATTTTTTGACAATTTTACCCCCCCCCCCTCCGACACAAAAGCCAGGACCCCCTCTAATATGACGTCACACCTCAGACTACACCCCCCCCCCCCCCCGTCAAAATTGCTGTTGAATTTTTCTTAAAACATTGATATTTTTTTCCAAAATCTTGTCTGAACTCTGTCAACTTAAGGTATTTTAATCAATTCCTGTTACAATTTATTAAAACCGTTTTCTAAGACGCGAAATAACGGCTTAAACTAGTTTTTAAACAGTGTTTAAAAGTATGACGTCACACCATCTGAACACCCTCCTCCCCTTCATCACACACCGCACAAAATAACAGACCCCCCTCCCCCTTAACAGTGTGATGTCTTTTATGGACGACCCCTTACCTGCAAACTTGGTTTGCTTTTGACCTCTTGTCAAAGACTTCGGTAGAAGATTGTGGATCATAGAAAAAATATGTAATATTTTGTAGTTATAACGCATTTTATTTTTACACTGCTGTACTCTCTAGTTACTATATATAGTAACTACGTTTACTGTTAGTCTATATAGATCTAGATCTACTAACATTTAGTACAACAGTGAGTAATAGCTATTACTATAAATCTACTTGAGTACTTGACTTGGTTCCAGGACAAATGATCTCAGACAAAATATCTCAGACAAAATATCTCAGGACAAATGATATCAGGGACAATTGATCTCACGGACAAAAAGATACCAGGACAAAATATATCAGGACAAATGATACCATGGACAAATGATCTCAGACAAAATATCTCAGACAAAATATCTCACAGCAAAATTTTAATAGTATGTACGATGATTTTAGTTGACTTGAACTTTTTTTTTCAATTGACTGTCAATATGGTTTTTTTTTTCTACGCATAATAATCGTGAATAAAGTGAATTTGTTAAACTTAACAAAGCATCAAAAAATGTATTAAACTTAATCTTTCTAATAGCATTTGATTTTAAAAAGTTAAAATTAAAACAAACTTACTCCTTAAAGGTATAATAAATGATAATGTATAAATAAATAAATAAAGTAACGGTAGCTATACAACATTAATGTTCAAAACACGCGAAATATTTTTTCAAAAATGTGAATAAGTCTTCAGGTTTGTAACGTAAAACTATTTTTTTATTGCATCATCAACACAAACGAAACGCTTACATTTCTATGCCGGCAGGTACATTGTTATGATCACACCTCTCCAATACTATGTGATCATGTATTGTGTGAACTCTTGCTCGACATGTTCTATCTTCACATTTCCAAATATCTTTGCCTGCTGTTCTTCTTCTGGCTTTTATAAACATAAATCTCCAGAAACTAATGTCTTATACCCTTTCTGCGAGGTAACGAAAGAGGTCATAGCTGAGTAATCACCACTAATACTGCCTTGCTTGCATGCACACTACGACAAACTTAGCTCCGCGATGACCGCTGTCGTTTAAATAAGCATTTGTCACCAGATCACCAAGGTGTGACCCACGCATAACTATTGACTTTAGATTCTAGTTGCATTGTCCATGGAGGGCGGATATCTTTCCGTTAAGGCATGTCTCTGCCGTCAAAGCTGGCGGCCACCTTGATACGAAGGTGTGTCTTTATTGTTATTTAATTCCCATTCATCTAGTTTCGTCCACCTGACATGGTAGGATTGTCTCATATTTGGCAAGCTCACCTACGTCGTCTATCGAAAAATTTCTTTAATCTTCACATACTATATTAGTAATCTTAGTTTTAAAATGTTTAGTGCAATATGACAAATTTATGCTGCAATCATTTCTCACAATTATTATATAGGCCAATAAACAATATTAAATATGGTAAACAAAACCACATGACACTCAATAAAAATGTTCAGATCAACTAAAACCATCCAATACGCTATTACAATTTTGCTGTGAGATATTTTGTCTGAGATCATTTGTCCATGATATTTGTCCTGATATATTTTGTCCTGGTATCTTTGGTCCGTGAGATCATTTGTCCTTGAGATATTTTGTCTGAGATCATTTGTCCATGGTATCATTTGTCCTGATATATTTTGTCCTGGTATCTTTGGTCCGGGAGATCATTTGTCCTTGAGATATTTTGTCTGAGATATTTTGTTTGAGATCATTTGTCCTGAGATCATTTGTCCTGTCACCCTTGACTTAGAACAAATATTACTAAATTTATATCTAGATCTACTAGATCTTGTTAATCTTATTAGATTTAGAATTTAAAGAGTTAAGTTTTTCATGACCCCAGACAAAATCGCTCAAAAGAGGGTGGGGGGGGGGGGGGTGGATAGTTTTGATTAGAGTCAAAACAAGAAGCCAAACATCTTCTTTATTAAAGAAGAAATTAATAGCCTAATAACATAGATCAAAGCAATCGGAATTTCTATATTAAGACTATTTGCTGAATTTATAGGATAATAGTTTTACTTTTAAAGATGAACATACTTTGAGTATTTTATTTTGATATACATTTAAATTATGAATTATTTTTCTTGTAGAGTTTAGGGCAACACGGCTTATAATAGAAATAAACAACATACGTTGTGGAAGTCGCCTAACAGACTGTCGGTCATTCCTGCGGTTGCCTTTAATTAATTTCCATTATTACGTGACTATGGAAGAAAATTCTGCCAATACTATATTAATATTAGCCTAAATTATTATGAAAACACAGCTATCATGGCTGTGCGATAATAAATATGTTTAACAATAGACATATTATTAAAAACCTTGACTTGTTTAAATGAGCTTTATTTGCGGACTTTGGTTTGTCTCTTCCCACTTCTCAGCTTTGGTGTCCGACCGTACAGCAGCCTAGTTTGACTCAATACATGCACACGGTTTTGGTCCCAATATTCTGCTATTAATATAGTCTACATGAGCGAAATAGGTCAGCTTTATATAATTTAAAATAATCAAAATAAACATATTGGAATATAGTATTTTGAAATTTAGTTGTATCCAGTCGAATTTTGGGGATTCAGTGCCACATACAGAAAATCACGTGAAACACAGAAAGTATAGCTTGGTGGTACACAGCTAAAATACCACCAGTAAGTTTATTATGACATTTTTTTTTTTTTGCGGAAGGATCATACAAAAACCAGCTAAGTGGTGATAGATGACCGCGCACAAAGGTACACAATAAATTACTCCAGGTAACTTGACAGATAATGTACACAAATTTAGCAAAATCTTCCCGAAATTCAATGGTTGTTGTTGGAGAACATCTTTAGCCCTCTAAGAAAGGCTTCTAAAATTCTATTGCCCTAATCATCTTTCCTCCCAATATTCAGTATTTTGATGAAGGCCCAGGGGTCGGCGTGGTCGAGTCGGTAAAGCTCATGGTTGCTAAACCGAAAAGTCTAGAGTTCGAACCCTCAGGCAGATGAGGCTCGTTAGCTGGGGACAGCCACTGTTCTAGGAGAGACAACTCCAAAATCAAACAACTGCTGCCTTGTAGTTTGTTCTTGGTTGGACAAAGGCTATGGAAGCAAATCCAAAAAGAAAAGCAGGCTGAAATCAGAGTCAATGGCCGCAATGGCGCATAACCAGTTGACACGTAATCCTTAATTGTGATGGAAGCATGGTCGAGTCGGCAAATCTCATGGTTGATAATTCGAAAAAAGTCTCGAGTTCAAACCCTCTGGCAGATAAGGTTCGATCCCTCCCAACAGTAAAAGTTAAGAACGAAGAAGAAGAAGATGAAAGCCCATCTGCATTCGATCAACCAGAGTAATTTGCTCCTAACTGAACGCTCGGATACTTCTGTAGCGTGCTAGCACTTGAGAAAACAGTCTAGAGACTATTTGTCATACAACCTATTCTGATTCTCATGAATGTAAGAATCAGCTGAGGTAAGGAAACACAAATATATTTGAATCTTCAAACGAGGAATGCTTCTAACACAACACATTTTCATTTACTTGTTTTTATTCCTATTTACAAAGCCAGAGAGAAGAAAAAAAAAAAATCAACTATTCCTCAGGTTTGTGATCTGTGCCACAATCTCTGTGAGCTTATCCTCCATCTCCTGGCACTTCTCTTTCACTTCTAGCAGCAGTTCTTTGGTTATGGGATCTGTGTGTTGCTTCTGCACAAGAAAATACAACTTCAACATCAAGTACAAGAAAATACATTTCATTTGTGACCTGGAAGAAGACACCAAGAAGATTGGATACACCTGGGGACAGTTGGAGAGACTAGCCCAGGACAGAGACGTCTGGAAAGCTCTTGTCAGCAGTCTATGTCCCAGTATGAACGACAGGCAAACCTAACCTAACCTAAAACTATCATAATAGGCCTAACCTACAATTTTTTTTACATGTGGCGGTGCTGTGTGTATGTAGTGGCCACATTTCCCTCAACAATTCAAGATATTTCTAGGGTTTTCCAGGTAGCCTAGTAGTAGCTCAACTGCTAGCCAGACGGTCTCAAATTTGGATGCCAGTTAAGACGAGGTACTGCAGGACATCCTTGAGACCACCCAGCTCAGATGGGTACCTGACTCACATTGAGGAAAGTAAAGGCAGCTGGACATAGTGCTGACCACACCATCCCTTCATATGCTGAGGGTTAGGGAACTATACTTCATCTGACCTATAGATAATTAGGTCTGAAAGGGGAACTTAACGAAGATTTGTCAGCTAAATATTAGAGAACTTAAGGAAAGGTAAGTTTGGGCCAAGATAAATTGTGGTAACCAAATCTTAGTCTTATAAATTTGTTAATCTTATGCCACATTAATCTCCTAATAACCATCTAGCACCCACCTGAATTTTCACCAGGGTTCCATTCAACATCAGCTTAGCAGCAGCCAAGTTCTGAAGACTTTCTTGCTGAGTTTTCCCAGCTGAACACAGAATGTGAGCTGAGAGTAAACAACAAAACAAAGTCTTTACAGTCTATGCACTGCAGTGTTAACACTTATATACCCTAAATAATTAACTAGACTGTTTTAGAAAACAAAAATAAATAGTAAAAGTAAGTTTTTAACAATTCATTATCTACAGTATCTTTTTTAATTAAATATTTGTTTGATGTAGCCTTAGTTTTCAATATTTGGAATTATTTGTATTAGATAAAATGCTCCTCAGATGTTTATTTACGCAAGTCTGAGTTTCTTAACACTCACCCTGGGCTAGGTTCAATGCCTGCTCGGCCACTTTCTTGCACATGTCAACATCTTTCTCCCAATCTACTTTCTGTGTGTAGCAGCGATGAGATTTCTGAAGGTACTGTAGCGCCTGGGGGGGAACATTTATCCTTACAAGTACACAGAATCACAGAGGGGACAGGGCTAACCATTCCCCTCTGCACAACAATACTGCAATAGCACAACCCTGTCCATTACCCCCAACCATTTAGAGATAAATACAGATAGGGATATAGAGTTGAATAAGCACAGATAGGGATAAGTTAAGGATTAGGAATATGATTAAGCACAGGGTCAAGGTAATAAGAAAGAGGGTCAAGGTTATGGATATAGACTTGAATAAGCACAAGAAAGACATACATGATACTATTGATACAATGGTGTGGATAAGTGCATAACATAGATGCAATATGATACTGCATAAATTCATATAAATGATTTAGAATCAACACATCTTCAATGTATAACATTACATTAAATACATCAGTATGATAAGTGTCAATACAAAAGTATGTTAAAAGTAAATACATTAAATAAGTCTAGAATTGTAACTGACCTTCTCTGGCTCTGGTTCTTTTTCTCCTATTTTTATACTGGTGAGTTTAGCATAATCTGCCCAAATATCTCCTTCAGATGTTGTCTTAAATAGAAAAAATAGAAAACAATTATTATAAAAAAATGATCAATTATTTACAAAATACAATTAATAAAAGCTATTTTAAATTATAAGGTTGAGGAGCAGATTTCCTACAAATAAACTGCCTACTTTTGATGTTACTCTGCCAAACAGTTCACAAACTTTCCCTGCCAACCTGTCTCCTGGTCTCCCATCAGCATCTGGGATTTTCTCCAAAACAGCTCTTGTCAAAATACTAAGTACCTTGGAACAAAATTTCTTAAAACATTTAACAAGTTATGGCAATGCTTGTAATTAGTTATTAACATTCAAACAACTATCCACAACATAAACATACTAAGGTTGGATTTGAAAGATTAATAATATTTACAAAAAAAAAATAAAGCCAATAAAATAATTATTTGGAGAAATTTTGAACTATTACTTTTCGATGCCACAAAATTTGAGTTACTTAAGTATAATTTTTCATCCCCTAAACATTGAATTAGCAATAAGTATTTTGCAGCACTATGAAATCTAACCTCTTTATCAATCCACTTCTCCCTCAGATCTAAAAGCCTATGGTAGGACCTAATAACATCTTCAAACTCTCCACAGTCTGTACCAATCTTGTGAAGAGAGAGAAATAAAAATGTTTAGTTTGCTTTGAAATGTAACAAAAAAAATATTTTGTATAATTAAATTAATTCATACAGAACAAACATCAAGAAAAAATATTTTTCCTGTATATAACTAAAAAATACTAAAAATTCCTAACAACTTAATTTATTTTAAATTATAGACATTCTTACAACAAGATTATTTTCCCAAAGTCTCCAATTTTCATAGTTACATTTTAATGCATCCTGAAGTGTTGCATAAGCTTTTTTCCTGAAAAATTAATTTTTAAGATTTAGAACAGATGTATTTAGACAATGTTTTGTAAAACTGAAAGAAAGAAATGATGTTAAAACTTACTTCTGTTTTAGCCTGACATAGCAAGTGGCAAGGTTACTCCAGGCTTCGAAGTTCTGAAAGTTAATGGTAGATAATACATATATAATTTTGGATGCTAATTTTTTTTTCTAAGGCAGCGATTTCACACAATCTCCTAGACTAATTTGTTTCAGAAATTAAAAAAAAATCCACAGAAATTGAACCCTGGGTCATATAACAATGAAGAAAAACATACACATAAAACTTATCATTTCAAGCTTTTGCAAATTTTGTTTGAGACTAGCAAGCCTATTGTTGTTACTTTGAAATGAAAGTACTAAATATAGTTTGGCTACATAGGACTATAACACATAAAGATTGGATAGGGTTAAATAAAATGAAAGAGGTAGAGAAGTGAATACACACATCAAAATCTATGTTGACACATCTTTTAAAAGCCTTGACACCAACTTCAAAGTTCTGGCAAGCCATAGATGCACAGCCATAAGTGAACCAAACTGGGATCTGAAAAAAATTAAAAGGAAAAAAAAGCTTGAAAAATTAAATTAAACCAAAGTTCTCCCATATGCAAAACACAATATAAATATGCACATTATAAATGTGTATGAAAAAATATTGAAATATTACCGGAACAATAAACATAAATATAACCGAACAATTTATTTAACAAAGAAAATCAGAAGAGCAAAACAGTTTGTTTTTTAATATTGCCAAAAATTTCTTCTCTATTTTAAAAGAAAATAATAATAAAGGAAACACACGCACTCTGAACTTACGGTAAGATTATGTTTTTAATACACAAGTTAATTTTTAGCTTTAAAGTTGATTCTTATATGAGAATATATTATACTTATTAACACCAACAGGTAACTGTATTAACAGAAGTATACAAAAACCTAAAAAAAAAATACATGAACATTTTATTTAAACTCTGAAAAAAAAGAACCCTTCCTCATACCTCTTTCCCAAGGACAACATACAAACTGGACATGAAATCTTTACAAACACTATGTGCTTTTATTTATTTAGATTCCTTAAAGCTTTTATTTTACTAGCAGAAAATTATACTCATTAAAAGACCCAAAAAATTGTCCACATACTTGCAGTGAGTTGATTTTCAATGAAGTGGCAAAACATTCAACTGCCTTCTGATACTAAAAATTAGAAGAAAAATGTTTGAACAATTGCATAGACATGTCTAATACAACAATTAACCGTACATTTGGTATGAGGGTCAGAAAAGAAGAATTAGTATCACAGTAATTATAGAAATGTTATTCTTGGAGTCCAGAATGTTGAAGGGATAAGGTAACATAGATTGCTGACAGGTGGGGAGCCTGTAGATCAGACAGCAATTAAAAAGAACCGAAACAAATACATTTTTTTACCTTTTCTTCATGAAAATATATGTACCCCATGCATCTCATGGCACGAGCACTTTTATGATTAGAAAGCTCCCAAGCTTGCTGATAATGTTCAATGTTGCGAGTGACATCGCCAAGAAAACATAACAGTGATGGGGTTTCCTTAATGGCTAAACGTTCTCTTATCACAGCTTCTGCCTAAGAAAATATTAATTAAATAAATTTGTAAATGCCACAGCTTTTTCACAAAGGTCAAATCAACAGACCAGTAATTAAACAGATATACTAGCTTGTAAATGGTATTACATACTAGGTACTGTTTTGGCAAACATTTTATAATATATGAAAAAAAATCACAAACAACCCAGAAATAAATGTAAAGTAAAAAAAAATTAATTAAAAAATAACAGAAGAGGTTATACTAATCTTCAACTTCAACATTAAAAATTATTCTGAATTGATTAATATAATTATGTTAAAAAATACAATTCTAAATTTATTGGATAAACTTAAAATTAAACAAATGTCATCATTTATATTGTAAAAGTATGTGGGAAAATGATTTAGGTTGTAATATGAGTAACATTATGTGTCAAAACTTAAAACAATTCATACTCGTTCTCTTTTCCCCAGTTTTTGATAACAAGAAATAACATCTTCCCACATTTCCAGCCTTTCAAAAATATTTAGAGCTTCACCAATACAGCCCAAGGATAAAAGCAAATTGGCCAGTTCTTTCTGTAAACACAATATAGTGAAAAAAAGGTCGATATATATATATTTATATATACATATATATATATATATATATATATATATATCATTAAACTCAAAACTTCAGCAAATATGTGAAAATAAGAGAATGAAAACATTAAAAAGTTTCAGAGCAAGTAGACAATACCTGAAGTCTCCAAATGGGAGGTAGATTGGCAGCATAAAACAATGGCATACGACACCCAATGTCTGCACCTGATTCATCAGTTCCAACAACTTTTGCCAGTTCCTTATCAAATTAGTGTAGTCATTTATTATATCAGACATAACTTTTTATTGAATTTCAAGACAAAAACAACTAAAAACAAACAATCAAATTGTATCTAAATTACTTTAAAGACAATGTAATTAATTGTAAAAATGAATGAAAAAAAAGCAATGTTTATATTTTGTAAGAATACCTCCAGCTGCATCATGGATCTTTCAACTCTTCTGCGACTGTCTCGCTCTAGCCGTGATCGGAGGTACAGTGCCACCACACTAACACACCAATTGGTGACACGACTGAGAACATACTGAAACATGATCCAAAGAACATACTGAAACATGATCCAAAGAACATACTGAAACATGACCCAAAGAACATACTGAAACATGACCCAAACAACATACTGTAACATGATCCAAAGAACATACTGAAACATGATCAAAAGAACATAGTGAAACATAAGCCAAAAAACATACTGAAACATGACCCAAAGAACATACTGAAACAGGAGCCAAAGAACATACTGAAACATGTCCCAAAGAATATACTGAAACATGACCCAAAGAACATACTGAAACATGACCCAAAGAACATACTGAAACATTATCCAAAGAACATACTGAAACATTATCCAAAGAACATACTGAAACATTATCCAAAGAACACACTCAAACATGATTAGAAGAACATACTGAAACATAATATAATCATTGAATAACATAACGTAAGCTGTAACTATTTTTATAAGTCTAGATTTAATGACGTACAGTCAGGTAAGCTGAGATTTCCTCATCAGTCAACCTATCATTGGCACGACTACGTCTGTAGCTTTCCCTGAAAAAAAAAAGATGTTATTTGTAATGATAATATTTCTGGGATACACTGTTGCTATTAATTAAATGCAGCAATCCTAAGTAATGGCCTAAATGAATTTTTTCTTTTTTACAAGACGCCATGCATAAATGTTTTGTCAATTTTAACTTTAATACTAAGCTTAATTACCAGCTTTTACATATGCATTTATAATTTTATGTAAATAAACTAATTCAGCTAAAAGATTATTTCACTTTATTTAAACCTACATTAAGCCAATAACTAAAGCCTGCTCTAGGGGTGTGAGTTGAACAGAATCTGCAATGGAATCGTCCGCAAACTTGATGTCATTCAAAACAGTGTCATCATTTAGTGGCAAGTCCTAAAAAGACAAGTACCAACATGTTAACTTTTACAATACACTTTCACTAAACAAAATTTCAGGGATGGTGAGCTTAAACTTTTTGTCCTCCATCAATTTTTAAAATTAAGAGACCTCACCACCAGAGACAATGGCTAGAAATATAGTTAGCTGTTTTTGCTGACTAGTCTTTTTTACTATAAATGAATTATCAATACAAAGCAGCTGCAACTTTAGTTAAAACATCTTTACCTTCAAAAGATAGGAGCTCTTTTCTTAAAAAAGTTTACCTTGGGTAAAGAAGAGGACTTGAGAAAATTGACATCACAATTTCCATTCTCTCCCTCTCTGGATACCTTCAGAACCAGCTGAGCTTTATCCTCCTCTTGGTAACGTGTTCGCTTACCCATTGCACCTGTGGGGATAAGCAGGAAGGTAAAGGTGTCATAGCAAAGGTAGGTAAAGGTGTCATAGCAAAGGTAGGTGAAGGTGTCATAGCACAGGTAGGTGAAGGTGTCATAGCAAAGGTAGGTGAAGGTGTCATAGCAAAGGTAGGTGAAGGTGTCATAGCACATGTAGGTAAAGGTATGATAGCACAGGAAGGTAAAGGTGTTAATGAAATCAAAAGTGCAGCAAAATTGGTGAGTCAAATATATTGATAGCAACTAGGCAGCATATTAAATAACATAAGTTAATAATTTAATAAGAATAATTAAAAAATAAAATTTTAAAATCTATACAGAATACAGCTTGGTAAACTTTCTGTAAGAACCAATAGCTTTGGTTTAACAAGTTGTTTAAGGTTTTAACTTTGCTGTGATAAAACCGCACTTTGAATTTATGATATAAAACAGCAGCAAGAAAAAATTCACATTTCAATTTATAGTCATACCAGTCAAGACAATCTCTAAGCCTGCTAACTTTTTAGCTGTAGCAAAGTGCTCAAAAGCTCTTTTATATTCAAAGAATGCATGGCAAGCATAGCCAGATTCTATGTGGAACATTATCTGGGTGTTTCTGAAATGTAAAATAAATAAATAATTAAGTAAATTAGAACAGAATTAATGATTTTTCTCAGCCCATATTGCTGTTTGATCAATGTAATGATGGAAGAAAAAGAAAATAACTTCTAGTATGTATTGCTGACATTGTAAAAGTTCAGAATTAATAACTGCAATCCACCACCAAGACCACACAAATAAACGTGAAACTCCACAAACATGAAAAAATCCAGTAAATAAAAAACCCTATGTTACCTTAGTAACTCATCTGTCATTAGTGGCTCTCTTTTTGATACTGAAAATAAGCAAGGGCAATTTTATCACTAAAAATTTTAAGAAATGTATGCTAGTGAAAGAAGTAAAATTTATTATTTAAACTTTTTAAAAGATATAATTCTCAATCCAACAATGCTTTTCAAAACATAATTTGAAATCTCCAAAAAAAAAAAAACACTCATTATTTGAAACTTACAATTATCCTAATCAGAATCAGTTCTAAAACAAAATCTTTTATTAAATAATGTACCCTTTCAAACCTGATGGTCTATGGGGTAGATGAAGTAGAGTTAATCTATTTCTGTGACCTCGCCATAAGAAAGGTATGAAGTGGTCAGTACTATGCTATCTGCCTTTCCCTAATGTACATCATGAAACCATCAGAGCTTGGTGGACTAAGGTATGTCCTATGGTCAATGCCGGAACCCAAACACCACCTACTGTCTGACCATGCTATCCCATAATCAGATCTATAAATTCCAACCACCAATTAGATCTAAAACTTCCAATCATCAATTTGTTCTAAAACTTACAATCGTCAATCAGTTCTAAAACTTACAATCGTCAATCAGTTCTAAAACTGTAGCTTTCAAGGTTGGAGATCTATCAGAGAGCAAGTTTTGCTGAACAAGTAGACATCTTAACAGCCACCAATCCCAAGTCTGAAAATGACAACACACATACACTAAACAACAGTACATAGTTACTTAAATAAATAAAATCAATCAACCAAATTTTGGGCTAGAAGTATTAATCTTATAAGTTATACTGAGCTATACCTGTATATGTGAAAAAAAGGATCTGCATTCAAGAAGCAGGGTTCTGGCAATGTACAGGTAAATCAAATGGCGAGATTGTGTGTAGACAGTATCACCATCAAGACTCATTTCATTTATGGCCTCTGTTTCAACTTCCTAAATCAGATTTTTAAAAATTATATCAACCTATTGCATATTGCCTCACAACTAGCTAAGAAATAATTTTAGTTTTTGTTAAAGCATAATACTTAGAATTTAATTACCTATGATATATTATATTTAAATTGTATTTTTTCTTAAATACTAAAACACCACTAATATGATATAGTTATAACAGAAAAAGAACAAACATTTTGCTTATCTTGAAAAGATTGATGACAAAACTGTAATGGGGGTCTTGAAGTGGTTGGTCCAAGCCAATTGTTTTGTATAAACAGTTGAAGGCAAGACCCAGCAACCACCAGCACAGACAACTCACTAAAATAAGGGGAGATAATCAAAGATTTTCTTTTTAACACTTTTCGTTGAAAACCTGACCAAGAATAAATTTTTATTATACCCAATAGGCCTATACCAATTATATTTAATGGCTGAGTAAAAAAAACCCAACTATTATACTAATTTAGATATAATTATATACCTAAATGAGTTCAAGTCATCTTTGTTTTGAACCAGTAGTTCTACATTGTGTTGTACAAACTTGCAAAAGTCTGTAGACTCATTAGTCCCATCTTTGTAATTAAGAATTTGTTGAGCTGCTTGTGATGATTGTAAAATCTGTTCATAATGTCCATGCAAAAAATCCCTGACAATGTCTGATGGATCTAAATAATAGATATACACAAATATTTTAAATTTTAAGCAATAGTTATTAAAATATATTAAATATATGATTATAAAAGTGGTATCAGTAAACACACAACAATTATTTATAATGAGCTTACCCGCGACGTAGCATACGGCGCTATTTAGTTTAATTGCTATTTTTCAGTAATTCATAATTTGTGAATTCGACACTACCAATGCTGTGACTGAAAATATTTTGCTTTAAAAACACTATCAGTAGCTAGCGAAGGACGATTATCCTCACAATCACTTTCCACTCCCCCCCCCCCCCACTCCGCTTTGTGAAAGCAGCCGTCTATGACAACAGTTTACAGATGAAAGTAGCAAGTAGAGAATTATATATAGATCTATAGATTAATAATTATGCAAGCTAACGGTCGAACTGTAAAAACACAGCAGCTTAACTCTTTGATTTGAGTCGCTTCCCTTTGTATCCACTGATTAAATCAGCTATAACACAAATTAGGAAATAGTTTTTGCTAGGCCTATATCTTAGTATTTCTCGCTAACTTGGAGGCGTGGTCGGTTGCTAACAACAATATGGCGCCCGGACCGGACGTTTGATTTCCGGCGATTTTTCGGCCAAATTCCAGAGACCTTAAACTAATTACATTTAAAATGTTTACCACGCGCAAAATGGCGGGATTTCCGTGTCATAACAACAAACCATAGGTGGCAGGGTTAGATATGACAGAAAAGCATTTTAAAATTTAGTTTGGAGAACGGAGGCTAAATTCAAAAGTTGGTTTCACTAAAATTAATAGAATTTAAAAAATATCAACAGTGTAGGTACATAAATAAGCGAGAACGTAAAGCATTATTAGTTTTATCAGTCTATGAAAAAAGAAATCAAATATTGTGAGCTGTTTTTTTATAAGACCGGCGTCCGTATCACAACCAATTTATTTTTATTTTTTAAAAATCACGTGACCGCTATTTGATGATTACTAGTGAGGAACTCTGGGTGCATGGCCACTTAAAAAGTCTAACCTGATTTGTGGTTTTCTTTAGCTTCAAGCTTAAGAAGAGTTGTCATGGAGAGATGTGTTGGACATGGCAGTGATTGACAATAAATATTAAATTAAGTAATTTAGTTTAAAACGAACTAAAAACCCCAAAGTTAGTGCCTAATGGATTAAATATGGATGTCTATTATTCAGTGGTCATGTTTAAATTGATAATTGCGTAAATTCTAGATTTAGTGAGAAAAACTACTAGATCTAGATCTATATCTCTTAACTAAATGCAGAGTTTTTCAAACAAATGTTCGTGAAGCGGCGAATAAATACGCTAACATTTTAAAATGTAGTTTTACCCACAGTTGCCATTTGCTGAATTTGCGTGATTTTTATTTTTAACAGATTTAAATTAAAAAAATTATTTTAACAGTCTGAGTCACCAACCCCTGAGTTAACTAACTGGGCACTGAACTAAATAAATTAACAAACGTAGGGGCCTATCTTTTTAAAAATATTTCAGATTTTGAAGACAACAAACTCCACTTATTTCTCTATTAAACCAGAATTACCATTAACGAGATTATTAAATCCGAAAAGTAAAGCCAATTCACATTGATTAATGTGCGCTGCCATTTTTCAAGGGAGAGTACTTTAAACTATCCATACCACTATCTATGTTTATTTTGATAAAAGATCTCCAAAAGAATCGCACAGCGCATGACACAAAATCTGCATTGTAACTTCCCATAGCTCACCAAACCAAGAGGAATAATGGTACCGTAGACAAAAATCTTATATTTATACTGGATCTAGATTTAGAATCTATACATTTATAAAAGACAGTTACTTAATATAGATCTAGATCTATTATTGGTAGACAGCATGAAATATAAAATATCGTATAAACATAGATCTACATCTTGTTTCAGTGTGATACGTTGACAGATAAATAAAATAACGTGTTTTTCACTGGTTTTTGTCAATAGTCAATGTTTGTCAATTTAACAATTTTACTTTTACGAACTTAAATTTTTTTTTTTTAGTTTAGTCTTCAGAGTCTTCTTTTCTGTCAATATCAGAAAAGTAACGGGCGCAAGAGACTGTTAAGTGCAAAGGATTAGATCTAGATCTAGGCCTAATCCTAATCAATAGGCTTTTTAACTTTTAAGCAAAGCCATCATTTAGCCTTAATCTGTAAAATATGTAAATCAGACCTAGCCTGATGATTTTCAGAATCAGATGTATCAATTTAATGAATTTATGAATGATCCCTACCCTAACTCCCCTTTTTAGTCCCTAGCGCCTAATTTCAATAAAATCACTAGATCTAGGCCTAATTTAATTAATTCTATAGGCCTATATTCTATAAGTAAGCTACTCAGCTATGGTTCTTGAGTAAAGATCACAGGCATAGATTCCAGGTCTAGTCATTAGGCAGGAATCCTCCCTTTGGTACTTCGGTCCCTAAACTTGTTTTAAATGTATGTTAATAGATAGGTCTAGGCTATAGGCCTATAATTTGTTTTTATGTTTGACGATTGCATCACCTAAAAGAGGCTGTTTTAATTTATTTTTAAAATAACATAGGCCTACTAAATATTATTTTACTAGGGTCAGCGACAGTCAGGAGGAACTGGAGGGCAGGGGAATGATAAAGGAGATGATAAAGTAAGTTCATATTGCCATTCATTTTGTTTTACACACCGACCCAACTGTAATTAGTATCATTTCAATTAACTGTTATTTCTTTAAAAAAAAACAATGGGTGTACTATTTATGACTAGGCCTAATTAACAGTATTACTTTCAATAACAGGATAAGAAAAGAAAATATGAGCCACCTGTTCCTACCCGGGTAGGTAAAAGAAAGAAGAGATCCAAGGGACCAGATGCAGCAACAAAATTACCCCAAGGTATTCAACCATTTTTTTAATACACTATTTCATGTTTTATTATTCTAAATGACAATTTATCAAAGTTACCATTTGAATGTATTTTAATGTATGATTCTGTTTGGTCACAATGACAGTGACTCCATATACTAGATGTCGTCTCAAGATGTTAAAGTTGGAAAGGATTAAGGATTATTTACTTATGGAAGAAGAGTTTATTAAAAACCAGGAAAGATTAAAACCCCAAGAAGAAAAACATGAGGTTAGAAACCTTGTTTACTAACTTTTAATACTTTCTTTTTGGAAAATTAGAGCTCAGTTTTATTGTTAAATTATATAATATTAGTTTTATCATGTTTAATTTATCTAGAAAATATATATACATTACATTTTATTGACTAACTTGGGAAAGCCAAAGTAGTATACGACATTATTTTGCAATTCATACTACATAGATATAGTTAAGAGCTTGGTTTTATTATCTTTATGAAATATTTTGTCACCATGATTTTTTTAAAATTAGGAAGAGAGAAGTAAAGTTGATGAGCTACGTGGGTCTCCTATGTCTGTAGGGAACTTAGAAGAAATAATTGATGACAACCATGCTATAGTCTCCACATCAGTAGGCAGTGAACATTATGTCAGTATATTGTCATTTGTAGACAAAGACCAGCTTGAACCAGGTTGTTCTGTGTTGCTTAATCATAAGGTAAAGGCTGATCACTTTTAAACATTCCTTTAATAAGGCTAGAATACATTCTTCAGCTTAAAAAAATATTTAATTTCTTTTTACTATCTGCTTTTAATTTAATTGTTTCAGTTAAAAAATAGTGCATTCATGAATACTGTTTAACTGATATTTAGTATTTTTATTTTTGATTAATCTTAAATCATTTGTTTTATTAAAGGTTCATGCAGTAGTAGGTGTGTTAGGGGATGATACTGACCCAATGGTAACCGTTATGAAATTAGAAAAAGCTCCTCAAGAAACATATGCTGATATTGGAGGTTTAGATAATCAAATACAGGAAATAAAGGTTGATACTTTAAAATATGTTTACTCTAATTTAACATGTACTTTTTTTTCCATTCATACTGTTTTTAAAAAAAATCATGTTTTAACTTTAACTGAATCTTATAAAAGTGATTTTATTTTTCAATAGCAAACTTGCATATAGATAACTTACTATTACATGGTATTTGTCACAACAATATTTTGACCAGGAATCTGTAGAGCTACCTCTCACTCACCCTGAATACTATGAGGAGATGGGAATCAAACCACCCAAAGGAGTTATTCTGTATGGGCCACCAGGAACAGGTATAGTGTTGCTCAATTTTTTATTTTACTTGTTTAGAAGTATTGGTTCATTTGATGCTGTTTTATTCATCCTTGTTTTGACACCGCCTATATGTTTGCAACTTTTCAGGTAAAACACTTCTAGCCAAAGCTGTGGCCAACCAGACGTCTGCTACTTTTCTGAGAGTAGTTGGTTCTGAACTTATTCAAAAATATTTGGTATGTGTTTTAAACAAAACTTTAGTTAGCTTAACTATAAACTGAAAATGAGTGAAGTATTAGTAGTTGTATTTTTACAGCTTTTTTGGTTGACTAGTTAAATTAGACCACTTGGGAATTTGAAGAGTTAACTCAGTTTTTACTGTATTAGTGTAAATAGTTGTGCTTTATATTCTATTCTCCTATTGTTTAGGGTGATGGCCCAAAACTAGTAAGAGAGCTGTTTCGCGTAGCTGAGGAGCATGCACCTTCTATTGTATTTATTGATGAAATTGATGCTGTTGGTACAAAAAGGTTAGACAACTATTATATTGTTTTAATTTCACATGATTAAAATACAAATTGAGTTGGTAAGATAATTTGTCAGTTTCAGTGATCATCTAAAATTAGCTTTTACCATATTTTAAAATCAGGTATGAATCTAACTCTGGTGGTGAAAGAGAGATTCAGAGAACTATGTTAGAGCTGCTTAACCAGTTGGATGGGTTTGATTCTCGTGGAGACGTCAAGGTTTGTATTATAGAATTTATCATCTTTGTTACTTACAGTACTTGTAACCCTTCTATTATAGTTAATGATGTCTTTGCTTTTAAAAAAAAACTTTTTGTATTATTCAGCTGTAATGATTGTTCTAAGACCAGACTTTTTACAATTACTGGTCAATGTGCTCTGTAAGGTTTTTTAAATTCACTAATGTAGACACTTTTGAATTACATAAAGGTTGTCATGGCAACAAACAGAATAGAGACATTGGATCCTGCTCTGATTCGCCCAGGACGAATAGACAGGAAAATAGAGTTCCCTCTTCCTGATGAAAAAACAAAGAGGCGCATATTCACAATCCACACAAGTCGTATGACCTTGGCTGAAGATGTCAACATTGAAGACTATGTCATGTCCAAGGATGACCTGTCTGGGGCTGATATTAAGGTACAAAGCCACTTGTTAATTGGATTTTTTTGTGTTTATACTATTAAGGTATCTATCATAATCAACCTTCCTTTTTTTTTATTTTAGGCTATTTGTACTGAGGCTGGCTTGTTGGCTTTAAGAGAACGTCGAATGAAAGTCATGAATGAAGACTTCAAAAAGGCCAAAGAAAACGTTTTGTACAGGAAGAATGAGGGTACACCAGAAGGATTGTATTTATAATTTTGCAGCTATTTTCTTTAATTTTAAACGTTTGAATGTGTTTAAATTCAGTGATTTGTATGGAAATTGTCATCTCCTTTATTATAGAGCTATTATAGGACGATTTTTGCCATGCTTACAGAAAATTCTGTTACAAGTCACATAACTTAAATTGAAGTTACAAATAAAATATTGGTTGTTTACTTTGTCACTCTTTTCTTCATTTTTATAATTAGGAAATTAAAACCATTTTACCAAAATGATTGTTATAGTGATAATTGTTCAAACTGACTGATTTACCTTACAGAAAGTGAGAAAGCATTTTTTTCGTGAATTCTCTGTAATTCTATTTGTATGAACTAATTATGATTAAATAGGAAATTAGAATCCACATAACATGATTAAATGCCACATTGGAAGTTTGTTTCCAACAGAGTAGGCCTACTCTAATTATTTTAATTTTTTAAGGTTACTTTTCTCAACCTCTGCAGTAGACTGTTCTATATTTCAAATAGCGAAACAAGAATGTCTTCCATATTAATTACAGCTACAACAATATGGGCTCGTCCTTTTCCTTCCCTAATGTACCATCTTACAATTTAACTGGATTCCATTCCCTTCGGATCAAGTAAAGTTCCATTTTAATTTTAAGAAAATATCTTATATTTACAAACACAAGTCAATTTCTTGATATTATTATATGCAGAATTAACCCAAAGGCAAACAATTTTTTGCGTAGTAAAAAGGAAAGTAAAGTTTCCCTTTCAAACCTGACGGTCTATGGGGCAAGTGAAATAGTAGACCGTCCCTGAGTCCACCCAACTCTGATGGTTACCTAACTCACGTTAGGGAAAGTAAAGGCAGCTGGGCATAGTGCTAACCACACTATCTCTTCATATGCACAGGTCACAGGAACAAGAAACATTTTATGTAGGCTTACCTATAAATTAAAGAATATAAACTTTAAAGAAAATTCATAACAAAAGGCTTCAGTGGAATAGTTAGGCAAAACAAGCCACAAATTCTATTAGAAACTTTATTATCACATTACAAAAAAAATGAAATTCACAAATTAACAGCTCATCATTTGGGCTTATTTGTAGTAAGATTAGCCAGAAAGTCCTCAATATGCTGAACCTGTTCTTCAAATTCTCTTTTTGTTATTGCAGAAAACCGATAACTCCCATCTACAGGTTCACGAAAACTTCCCCAATAAAACAATCTAGATACTGCAACTGCTTCTGCAACTGATTTTAGTTAAAAAAAAAATTACATTCAGAAAACGTAACAATGCATTAATAATATAAAAATAAATGACTAGTAACATAAATACACTTTGAGTGACATTCTTATAATTATTTAGTTTTTATATAAAAAGTGGTAAACAACATTTTATGGACATTGTGGTACCCAAAAACAAGACCAGACATTTTTGAAATAGGTGATCAACTGAAAAGAATGAAGGGGTCACTATCAACCCAGAATAAGGGTGAGAAACAAAAACAAATTGTCAAAAAAAAAAACTATTAGGCATACAGCTGTCAAACTTTTAGTAGTAATTATGATTTATTAGCGTTAATGCAGCTTATAATTGCAGGAAATGTACAAAGCAAAATAGTTTGAAAAACAACACATTTTTAACAATATTCGTTACTCTTTTGTGAACACATTTTTCAACCTAAACATTTTTCATCTTTTTGGGGTCAAATTATTTTTTAAAAATATTTTGCATCATACATATGCCGTCATTTATATGCTGTTTTATAGCTGTTTCATCATAATCAATATGGTAAAAAAATGTATGGGTGTATGTGTAAGTTTTTTTTTCGCAAATGTTTCCATACATTTTCCGTTGTCGAATGATACTTCCCCCTTAAAAACAAGTAAAAATAAAATAACTTACAGAAAAAGCAACCAATACAAGATGTGATTCTGACATACATTTTCCATTTTGGTCGCGATCTTAAAAAAAGAAGAAGATATGTATTTCTTAATTCGCTAAAGCTAATATTTAGGACAAAGCAAAGTTTTTGAAAAATCTCCCTCTCTTGCTCGTTAATTATTTTCATTTACAGAAATTTAGTAGCTTAAAAAAATGGTACCTCCAAATCAGTATGGAAAAATTTAAGAAATATGGGAGGACCATTATGTTCTTATGTTACATAAGTCTACTTATAAACTGCACTGGATTGCATGAATAGATTTAATATCCCTGCTTCAATAAGGATTATTTTTTTTAGTTACCTTATATGATCTGTAACTGACCATAAAGCAAAGATGCCAATCAATGAAAGGAGACAACTATCTTTCAATTTCATTGTCATTGTATCTTCAGGCTTCAGTGGTATATATTGTGATAAATTCTTCTCCCATTCTGGTACTTCTCTCTGAAGCTGCTCTTGTCGCCTTCTTTCTTTTTCTTTTTCCAATGCTTGCCTTGAGCTTTCCTCTTGCTCTTCCTTTAACCGACGTTGATCTTCCAGAAAAACTCCATTCTTTGCACATCTCATCTCATTATCCATATCCATATCCTACAAATCAATGAAAAATACAAAAAGGCAAATGAGTAAACATTTTCAATTTATTAAAAATTTAAATCGTAAGTAGGCCTATTGAAAATTATTTCTTTAATTTCAACTAATATTTTTAAACAATAGTTGTTAAATCTGTAAGAATAATGAAAATAAATTAAAAGTTCAGTCACAACTAAAGTAGAGAAAATCCCACACAAATAGTATTTAGTTGAATGGCATTAGTTGCTTTGATAATAATAACAAATGACCTCACCCTAAAAAAATCAAAGTGATGAAGACCTTCACGTTTGCTCTGAAAAAAAAAAAGTTAATCATATTCGCAATAATATTTATTCTTATTAACAACACTTTTTAAGATAGATGATGTACAAACAAACTATTTGTTTAACTCAATGAAGACAAAGAAAACTTACATATCTCTCAATTACTTTGTCTCTGTATGGTTGTGGAAATTCTTTAAAAAACTCTGCAACTTTCGGGTCTAATTTCCCATCCCATGGTTTAAATAAGTCTTTTAACCAGGAGCTCATTATTATTTGTATAATCTGATCAACAGCGTATTATCTTTGTAAGAGAAACATAATATTAACATGAGAAAAAGAAAACAGATTGAAACAATTTGATACATTGTTAGTTCAGTATTATGAATAGCAATAGCTTACCTAATCCTATCACCCCAGCCCAAACACACATCCAGCAGTTTGCAAACAAGTTGATTAAGAAACTAATCTACAACAAAAAATAATATAGTTAATTAAATGATGTATGTATAAAACTGAGACTTAATTTCTTGTTCCTAAACTAATTATAATTGAAGTAGAGATCCTCCAGAGAAAATGGATTGGCCACACACCCAGGAAGCCTGTATCCAGCATAACAAGACAGGCCCTCACCTGGAATCCACAAGGCAGGAGGAGGAGAGGCAGACCAAGAAAGACCTGGAGACGTGACCTGGAAGAAGACACCAAGAAGATTGGATACACCTGGGGACAGTTGAAGAGACTAGCCTTGGACAGAGATGTCTGGAAAGCTCTTGTCAGCGGCCTATGTCCCAGTGGGGACGACAGGCAAACATAACGTAAACTAATTATAATAAAGTCACTTTAGGCTTATTCCTACTTTATTATAAAGCTAAAATAATTGGATTAGGTCTTAAGTTATAAATTACGCATTTTAGTTGAAGAGAAATAGGATTATTAACTTAGCCCTTAGGCAGGGATATGTGCTGAAAGGAAGTACAAATTGACTAAAGAAACAATGAGCCATGTTTGAAATGGTCCAAATCAATGCAGCAAACAATCGAACTGAGAACCCTTGAAATAAAAACTAAGTTAAGTAATAGATCTAGTACACTAGTAGATCTAATAGAGAGGAAGATTGTGTACATTGTAACATCATTGTTACATCATTGGCGGTTAGAAAATACAGTTGACTGAGTTTAGTTTCATTTGAAACTTATTAATATTATTGATTAGCTAGGATATTAACGAGCTGACCCACGGCACGCCACACTACTATTACTACCCTCCCTTCCATCCTCTCCCCCCTCTCCCGCCATAATACATAATAAATAAAATAGTCTGAAGTCGAATTACTTAATTAATTACTATAGTAATAGTCCTATAGTATAGAGTCAGTATAGACCTACTTTTTAATTAGGCCTGATACTTAATAATACTAATAGAGTAAGACTAATATTAAATAATAGAGGCCCTACGCCTAATTTATTAATTTAATAAAGAAAATCTTGCACGCACCAGTAAAACGATAGATTACCAAAAATATTATTAGTCTAGATCTATTCATTAGGCCTAGATTTAGATTTATGAATACAGGTTATTGTTAAGTTTTTAATATAGAAGATCTAGATCTAGAATTTAGAAATCTATTAACTTTTCAAGGAGTTAGCTGCGCTTAACCTAGAGATCTAGACCACATATTTACCGAGAATTACAAGAATATAGAATAGATCTAGCCGCTATACGCAGTCTAGATTATTCTGTACTAGATCTATAGGTAAAGATTATTACTAGATCTAGATCTAAATAATAAATATTTTTTTTTTCAAAAGTCTTTGATATAATAATTATAATTCAGCAAATTTGACAAAAAAATACTCAATTGGACTTTTTTTTTTAATGACCTTAATCAACAAAGCTATTTTGGCGATTTTTGGTGTGTTAAGGAATTTGTTATGACTCCAAAGATGGCTATGTTTACATCTTGATTTTTGATAGCCTACTGCTAGACACTAGTAGATCTAGATCTAGTAGTACTAGATTCTAGTATATCTACTTCCCATTTTTTCTTTAAAGTAGAGGCCTAAACATCAGGAAATATTCACTAACTAGATCATCTAGATCTAGAGATCTAGATCTATATCAAAGTACGTAGCAGTTTTTTTTTTCTAGAGATATCTCTATTCCTGGTCCTAGCCAGACCCTCATTCTGAGATTCTCACATTCTGAGAATGATTCTCTCACTCAAACTCAACTAATCTCAAAGTTAAAAAATCAAAGAGTTGAAAATAAGGTAAAACCTTAGTTAAGCGTCGCTATGGATGTAACTAATGAATATTTCTTTCCTTTGGCAAAATGGTAATCTATCGTTTTGGGTACGTAAAATCGCCCGCGGCTATTAATGTACGAAAACGTTACCTCATTGTCGAGGCTGTAATAGAAGTATATTGTGATATGTTTGTGTCAAATATTATAGATAAATAAATAATAAACATAAATCAATGGCTAAATATATCAATATAGTATAGGCCAGAAATTAACTTTAAACAGCAGTGTCTGCAAGCAAGATTTGCTATATAATAAACAGCAGCCATTTGTAAAATAGAGTGACTTCCCCCTGAATCTCGCGCTATAAGTCTATAAAAATAAAACTTTAACAAGATGGCTGCTATAGTAAATGAGCATGGTTGCATCTGTTGGAAACATCGCTGGTGTTCATTTATTACTGAAAAGTTTTAATTCAATTGTTTAAAAACAGGTACATAAATGAAACAAGGAAACATTTTTGTATTTTTCAAAACATAAATCCTCCTCAAAATTTGAAATAATTATTAAAATGTAAGGAGTCCCCTGTTTTTCACATTACTAGTTGCGGGCGATTTTACGTACCTAAAACGATAGATTACTGGCAAAATTTCAGATAATTGAATAGTTGAATATGAATAGGCCTAACAATAACAAATCACAATCCATGACAAAACCAGTCAAAAATATCCTGGAATAAACTTTAAACTACTGTGGTGATGTAATGTGTATGAAAGGTGAATACGTGGAACGGATCACTGCGTGTGTGTATGTTCATATAGTGAGACACGAGGCCGGGTGTGTTGACGTGTATGTTGTTGTACGGAGTGAACGAGGGTACAAGGGAAGCGACTGGTCGAGTGACAGCGGCTGTGTTGTGAGCGACAGAAAGGTGGTGTGTAGGGATGAATGCGGGTGACAGTTGGAGGTTGGGCGTAAACGGAGGCAGGTTGATTTTGTGACTGGAGATAGAGAAATAAAGGACTGTGATATCTAGCTTCAATTGTGTTGTGTATTTCGTTGAACCTCAGACACCCTCACATATTTGGTGGAGCTGCGGCACCCACAATTGGGTAATAGACGTTTATCTCCTGTCGAACCAACAGACCTCCTGTAAGTGGCACTTTTTGAATTTGTGAATTAAATAAATTATCAGAATCATGGAGGAACCACTTAGTTTGGCAGATATGTATAGCCTTGGTAGAACCAACGGATACGAGGGAGAGAAGTTGGACGAGTGGGTGGAGAAAAGACTGAATGAGAATGAAGAAAGGAGGGACAGATGGTGCAGAAGGGAAAGAGAAAGAATGAAGATGGAACAAGAAAAGATGGAGACAGAAGCAAGGATAGAGAACGAAAAACTGAAGATAGAAATCGAAAGGATGAAGCAGGAGCAGGAATTCGAACTGGCACGAATGAAGCATGAAGGTATGAAAGACATACCACACATAGACGTGAGCCATCAAAATATCCTATCAAAGTTGCCGAAATTTCAGGAAGATTCGGAAAACATAGATGCGTATATCAGGAGATTCGAGACAGTGGCGAGGACGACAAGCTTGAGCGATACGCAGTGGGGAACTCAACTCCTTGTCTTAATAGGAGGGAAGGCATTGGATGCATGTCAGGGCCTGAGTGAGGATGACATGAAGGACTACAGAATATTAAAGGAAACCCTCCTTGAGTTCTTCTTACATAATGAAGACTCGTATAGGAAAAAATTCCACAACAGACTGCCATCCAAAGCTGAGGACTTCAAAAACTACGTGTTGGATCTAAAAACCACGTTTATGAAGTGGCTAGAAACGGCTAGAGTGGAGATGAACGTGGAGAGTATCATTGAATTCATCTTGATTGATAAAATATCAAGTTCAGTAGATAAGCAGTTACTAAGTTACATACAGGAAAGAAAGCCCACCACTCTAAAAGAACTTACTGACCACTGCCAAAAGTACATCATTGCACACACAGATAGACCAATAGCTAACAAAGAATCAGAGTATGAATCAATCTTCTATGCAAAGGCGACAGGCGATACAGCGGAGTATGTTGGCCTAGAGGCAGGAAACTACAGATATGACAATCGACGGCTAAGGAGATATGGAACACAAACCAATGGTACAAGATACGTTGGGAGGTGTTTCAACTGCCAACAACCGGGTCACATGATTAGGAACTGTCCGCATAGAAATTCAACCGTTGGGGTCAATAACCAGGCTGCGGGCCAGGAGTACCCCAGAGACACAAACACTCATGCGGCACACAGTTATGACAGCCAACAACATAGACCGAGGCAGGACAGAAATCATAACAATCATTACAACGACCACAACAGTAGCCCAGATAATGAGGGAGTAGAACAGGCACCGTTATTACAGATCGCGCCGAAAATACCAACACTAATGGTGAAGGTGGGAGCTCATACGGTAGAGGCGGTTAGAGACACTGGTTGCTCTACTATAGCAGTAAAAAGTAGCTACGTCGAACAGCACCAATACACGGGTGAATGGAAAATGGTAGAGGTGTTTGGTGGCACGGTCATACGCCTACCGATAGCACTGATAAACATTAAATCACCGTATGTGACGGGACAAGTCCGAGCCTTAGTGTTCGAATGGGGATCATTCGACGCAATCATCGGGAATGATATCGAGAGAGAGACAATACCACAAAACTATCATTCTAATGCAGCGGTAAGGTGATATTTGGACTGGCCACATTCTGGTACGGAGCACACAACAAGACGGCGGTGAGACAACACACGTGTAAGACATTTGTGCTACGATATACACTATGTAGCATGGCGTCTTCCGACAAGTTATACCGAAGGAGAGGAAAATCGACGTCGTATCCAAAGTTAAAAACAAGTACCGGTATCCTTTTGTTAAGTTTCTTTCGTATGTATGTTTACTGTGTTTATTGTTAATTGCTATATACGAGAAATGTAAATGATGTTCTTGCAGAGACTGAAGGTGGATTGTAACTAAGAAAAGTATGCTACGTGTGGAGCCGAGTCAACGATTTGTGTGTGTGGTTTTAACATATTTCAAATGTTATATACAGGGTTACTTTGTAGGTATTCTCTGGAATGTAATATGGACATGATGCCAATTCTTCGTACTAGGTGTATTTTACAGAGTACAAGTTTGATATGGTGCGTCTATTCTGCGTACTACAGACTTACGGAAAATCATTGGAGGGATCTCTCAACAGTCCCAGTGCGGCTGTTAACATCGTAGTTATGTATTTATACATGTTGGGTTGAGTTATTGGTTTTCTTACATTTTTTTGTTAATTCCGCTGATTGCATCAGCTAGGGACAGATGGAGGGTATGTGGTGATGTAATGTGTATGAAAGGTGAATACGTGGAACGGATCACTGCGTGTGTGTATGTTCATATAGTGAGACGCGAGGCCGGGTGTGTTGACGTGTATGTTGTTGTACGGAGTGAACGAGGGTACAAGGGAAGCGACTGGTCGAGTGACAGCGGCTGTGTTGTGAGCGACAGAAAGGTGGTGTGTAGGGATGAATGCGGGTGACAGTTGGAGGTTGGGCGTAAACGGAGGCAGGTTGATTTTGTGACTGGAGATAGAGAAATAAAGGACTGTGATATCTAGCTTCAATTGTGTTGTGTATTTCGTTGAACCTCAGACACCCTCACATATTTGGTGGAGCTGCGGCACCCACAATTGGGTAATAGACGTTTATCTCCTGTCGAACCAACAGACCTCCTGTAAGTGGCACTTTTTGAATTTGTGAATTAAATAAATTATCAGAATCATGGAGGAACCACTTAGTTTGGCAGATATGTATAGCCTTGGTAGAACCAACGGATACGAGGGAGAGAAGTTGGACGAGTGGGTGGAGAAAAGACTGAATGAGAATGAAGAAAGGAGGGACAGATGGTGCAGAAGGGAAAGAGAAAGAATGAAGATGGAACAAGAAAAGATGGAGACAGAAGCAAGGATAGAGAACGAAAAACTGAAGATAGAAATCGAAAGGATGAAGCAGGAGCAGGAATTCGAACTGGCACGAATGAAGCATGAAGGTATGAAAGACATACCACACATAGACGTGAGCCATCAAAATATCCTATCAAAGTTGCCGAAATTTCAGGAAGATTCGGAAAACATAGATGCGTATATCAGGAGATTCGAGACAGTGGCGAGGACGACAAGCTTGAGCGATACGCAGTGGGGAACTCAACTCCTTGTCTTAATAGGAGGGAAGGCATTGGATGCATGTCAGGGCCTGAGTGAGGATGACATGAAGGACTACAGAATATTAAAGGAAACCCTCCTTGAGTTCTTCTTACATAATGAAGACTCGTATAGGAAAAAATTCCACAACAGACTGCCATCCAAAGCTGAGGACTTCAAAAACTACGTGTTGGATCTAAAAACCACGTTTATGAAGTGGCTAGAAACGGCTAGAGTGGAGATGAACGTGGAGAGTATCATTGAATTCATCTTGATTGATAAAATATCAAGTTCAGTAGATAAGCAGTTACTAAGTTACATACAGGAAAGAAAGCCCACCACTCTAAAAGAACTTACTGACCACTGCCAAAAGTACATCATTGCACACACAGATAGACCAATAGCTAACAAAGAATCAGAGTATGAATCAATCTTCTATGCAAAGGCGACAGGCGATACAGCGGAGTACGTTGGCCTAGAGGCAGGAAACTACAGATATGACAATCGACGGCTAAGGAGATATGGAACACAAACCAATGGTACAAGATACGTTGGGAGGTGTTTCAACTGCCAACAACCGGGTCACATGATTAGGAACTGTCCGCATAGAAATTCAACCGTTGGGGTCAATAACCAGGCTGCGGGCCAGGAGTACCCCAGAGACACAAACACTCATGCGGCACACAGTTATGACAGCCAACAACATAGACCGAGGCAGGACAGAAATCATAACAATCATTACAACGACCACAACAGTAGCCCAGATAATGAGGGAGTAGAACAGGCACCGTTATTACAGATCGCGCCGAAAATACCAACACTAATGGTGAAGGTGGGAGCTCATACGGTAGAGGCGGTTAGAGACACTGGTTGCTCTACTATAGCAGTAAAAAGTAGCTACGTCGAACAGCACCAATACACGGGTGAATGGAAAATGGTAGAGGTGTTTGGTGGCACGGTCATACGCCTACCGATAGCACTGATAAACATTAAATCACCGTATGTGACGGGACAAGTCCGAGCCTTAGTGTTCGAATGGGGATCATTCGACGCAATCATCGGGAATGATATCGAGAGAGAGACAATACCACAAAACTATCATTCTAATGCAGCGGTAAGGTGATATTTGGACTGGCCACATTCTGGTACGGAGCACACAACAAGACGGCGGTGAGACAACACACGTGTAAGACATTTGTGCTACGATATACACTATGTAGCATGGCGTCTTCCGACAAGTTATACCGAAGGAGAGGAAAATCGACGTCGTATCCAAAGTTAAAAACAAGTACCGGTATCCTTTTGTTAAGTTTCTTTCGTATGTATGTTTACTGTGTTTATTGTTAATTGCTATATACGAGAAATGTAAATGATGTTCTTGCAGAGACTGAAGGTGGATTGTAACTAAGAAAAGTATGCTACGTGTGGAGCCGAGTCAACGATTTGTGTGTGTGGTTTTAACATATTTCAAATGTTATATACAGGGTTACTTTGTAGGTATTCTCTGGAATGTAATATGGACATGATGCCAATTCTTCGTACTAGGTGTATTTTACAGAGTACAAGTTTGATATGGTGCGTCTATTCTGCGTACTACAGACTTACGGAAAATCATTGGAGGGATCTCTCAACAGTCCCAGTGCGGCTGTTAACATCGTAGTTATGTATTTATACATGTTGGGTTGAGTTATTGGTTTTCTTACATTTTTTTGTTAATTCCGCTGATTGCATCAGCTAGGGACAGATGGAGGGTATGTGGTGATGTAATGTGTATGAAAGGTGAATACGTGGAACGGATCACTGCGTGTGTGTATGTTCATATAGTGAGACGCGAGGCCGGGTGTGTTGACGTGTATGTTGTTGTACGGAGTGAACGAGGGTACAAGGGAAGCGACTGGTCGAGTGACAGCGGCTGTGTTGTGAGCGACAGAAAGGTGGTGTGTAGGGATGAATGCGGGTGACAGTTGGAGGTTGGGCGTAAACGGAGGCAGGTTGATTTTGTGACTGGAGATAGAGAAATAAAGGACTGTGATATCTAGCTTCAATTGTGTTGTGTATTTCGTTGAACCTCAGACACCCTCACAACTACCCTGTTCCAGACAACAATGAGTAAATACAAGCAGCGGCCATGTTTCAAAAACTCTAATAGAGTAGTTTCCCTTCGCATGTCTGTTGTGTTGATTTTGTGGTTTAATATGGTCGTTTTGTATTGTTTTAGTTTTAATATATGCCTCAGCCTGTATAGTAATTTTTCTTACGATTGTAAGCATTTGGCGTGAACCACAGCTCACCAGACTGGTGGGGGTGATAGCATGTTTACATGGTGTCCCGCATGGTCCCTTCATGAAGAAAATTATATGTATATAGATAACCCCTTGACAATCCACTCTAATAAAGACTGTCTTCATATCAAGGAAATAATATTATTATAAAGTATGCGAATAGTACAGACCAGTGTCATAGCAAGGATTTTTGGGCTCCTATGCAAAAAGTGTTAATGGGCCCCTCAGAGGCGTAGCGACCCTTCCTGGCGACAAATTTTCGATTTGCACCCCCCCCCCCCCCAGACTTTCAATTTGCACCCCCCCTCAAACTTTCGAAAAAGGGCCCCTATGCCTTGCTTACGGTAGCTTTACGGTAGCTACGCCACTGGTACAGACTTCCCTTTTCTTTTTTGCTCATACATCAAGATGCCAAGTAGCTGGGCACCTGGAGATCTGATGCTAGAATAGCTTTGATTCCCACTCATCAAAGAACCAGTTTCCTGGTCTTCATCTGTCTGTGAATCATTTGATATTTTCCTTTTTTTTTTACAAAGGTAGAAGCTAATCCTCCTCCCCCTTTATCTGGACAGTCTCATAGAGTCCACAGAAGGTAGAGCTGGTTAGGTCATTTGCTCAGAATCAGTGTTTCTTCCAGACTTTTTTCTCCGGAGGGGGGGGCACTTGAAATTTTCGGGGGGGGGAAGGGGAAACTTTCTTCGGGGGCGTGGACACTGTTAAAAGTATATATTTTCTATATAAATTATATAAATTTCATTTCGATCGAGGGGCGGTAGAATTTTTTCGAAGAGATGCCTGGAAGAAACTCTGCTCAGAATGAGAGCAGACCTTTGTTTAGATGGACACCACGTGACCAGAGAAAACAAGGGAGGCTAAAAAAGCAACATAGAGAATGTCAGTGGAGTTGAAGGAGAGTGGCTTAATATTTATTTCAAGCTTGAAACTAGCTCAAAGACTAGGACCATTGCAATTAACACAAGCCATTGTAATGTATGGTTGGCCTAACTAATGCAACATTGGTTTTTTTAATCTTTATAATGATGTGTTTATGGTTGGCCTAACTAATGCAACATTGGTTTTTTAAAATTCTTTATAATGATGTGTTTATAGTTGGCCTAACTAATGCAACATTATTTTTTTTTTAATTTTTATAATGATGTGTTTATGGTTGGCCTAACTAATGCAACATTGGTTTTTTTAAAAACTTTACAGATGACGTTTTGAGGCTGTGGTTGTTATTATTTTATCAATGGATAAAGCATCGAGAGCTGAGCTGATAGAAACTATCAACAGTCAAAAAGATCAGCTCAATCAGTACAAGTCTAAACTTCGAGGTGTGTCATTTACACATTCTGTTCGTTATTTATCTGATATACACTACACATGCATTTTTAAAATAAATATAAAGTGATGACTAGAGTGTTTTAAACGGACAAGCATAAAGGTTTAAAATAAACATTTGTTTAATGTCAGTGGCGTAGGCAGGGGGGTGGGGTGGGGGGGGGGCATACCCCCCCCCCCCCCATAGACCCCTCGGTATATAGAAAAAGTATGGGGGGAGGTGCAAATTGAAAGTTTGAGGGGAGGGGGGGGGTGCAAATCGAAAGTTTGAGGGGGGGGGGGGTGCAAATAGAAAGTTTGAGGGGGGGGGGGGTGCAAATCGAAAGTTTGAGGGCGGTGCAAATCGAAAGTTTGAGGGGGGGGGGGGGGTGCAATCAAATGTTTGAGGGGGGGATGCAAATCGAAAGTTTGTCCCCGGGTAAAAATTGGAACACCCCCCCTTGAGACGATCCTGGCTACGCCACTGGTCTGTGTAGTTATCTATTAGAACAATGAAATTAATACATACATTTTATATTTAAATATCAATTTTTGTTTTGTTTCATACAATCATTTGTTTTAATTTTTAAAATCCCTTATTTGAAAATTTAAGATGATCATACATTTAATACTCAAAGCAGAAAAAATATTCACATCCAGTTTTCTAATTGCCAGATGTGGTGGCAGCTTACAAAAGTGTTGTCAAAGAAAAAGAAGCGCTGGAGGCAAGTTTTTCTGCCCTGAGCACGTCCAGCAGTGCTACCAACCTTAGCGCCACTGACCTCACAGAAAAGGTTCCGGAGGAGTTGTCTGGGGAGGGTTCAGATCCACTTGGCATCTCTAAGGTTTGTATGTTTGGTTAAGTTGTGGGAGAGGTTAGTTCAATGAGATGGGAGGGTTCAGATCCACTTGGCATCTCTAAGGTTTGTATGTTTGGTTAAGTTGTAAAGTTGTGGGAGAGGTTAGTTCAATGAGATGGAAGGGTTCAGATCCACTTGGCACCTCTAAGGTTTGTATGTTTGGTTAAGTTGTAAAGTTGTGGGAGAGGTTAGTTGAATGAGATGGGAGGGTTCAGATCCACTTGGCATCTCTAAGGTTTGTATGTTTGGTTAAGTTGTAAAGTTGTGGGAGAGGTTAGTTCAATGAGATGGAAGGGTTCAGATCCACTTGGCACCTCTAAGGTTTGTATGTTTGGTTAAGTTGTAAAGTTGTGGGAGAGGTTAGTTGAATGAGATGGGAGGGTTCAGATCCACTTGGCATCTCTAAGGTTTGTATGTTTGGTTAAGTTGTAAAGTTGTGGGAGGGGTTAGTTGAATGAGATGGGAGGGATCAGATCCACTTGGCATCTCTAAGGTTTGTATGTTTGGCTAAGTTGTAAAGTTGTGGGAGGGGTTAGTTGAATGAGATGGGAGGGTTCAGATCCACTTGGCACCTCTAAGGTTTGTATGTTTGGTTAAGTTGTAAAGTTGTGGGAGGGGTTAGTTCAATGAGATGGGAGGGTTCAGATCCACTTGGCATCTCTAAGGTTTGTATGTTTGGTTAAGTTGTAAAGTTGTGGGAGAGGTTAGTTGAATGAGATGGGAGGGTTCAGATCCACTTGGCATCTCTAAGGTTTGTATGTTTGGTTAAGTTGTAAAGTTGTGGGAGAGGTTAGTTGAATGAGATGGGAGGGTTCAGATCCACTTGGCACCTCTAAGGTTTGTATGTTTGGTTAAGTTGTAAAGTTGTGGGAGGGGTTAGTTCAATGAGATGGGAGGGTTCAGATCCACTTGGCATCTCTAAGGTTTGTATGTTTGGTTAAGTATTAAAGTTGTGGGAGGGGTTAGTTCAATGAGATGGGAGGGTTCAGATCCACTTGGCATCTCTAAGGTTTGTATGTTTGGCTAAGTTGTAAAGTTGTGGGAGGGGTTAGTTGAATGAGATGGGAGGGTTCAGATCCACTTGGCATCTCTAAGGTTTGTATGTTTGGCTAAGTTGTAAAGTTGTGGGAGGGGTTAGTTGAATGAGATGGGAGGGTTCAGATCCACTTGGCATCTCTAAGGTTTGTATGTTTGGCTAAGTTGTAAAGTTGTGGGAGGGGTTAGTTGAATGAGATGGGAGGGTTCAGATCCACTTGGCATCTCTAAGGTTTGTATGTTTGGTTAAGTTGTAAAGTTGTGGGAGGGGTTAGTTCAATGAGATGGGAGGGTTCAGATCCACTTGGCATCTCTAAGGTTTGTATGTTTGGCTAAGTTGTAAAGTTGTGGGAGGGGTTAGTTGAATGAGATGGGAGGGTTCAGATCCACTTGGCATCTCTAAGGTTTGTATGTTTGGTTAAGTTGTAAAGTTGTGGGAGAGGTTAGTTGAATGAGATGGGAGGGTTCAGATCCACTTGGCACCTCTAAGGTTTGTATGTTTGGTTAAGTTGTAAAGTTGTGGGAGGGGTTAGTTCAATGAGATGGGAGGGTTCAGATCCACTTGGCATCTCTAAGGTTTGTATGTTTGGTTAAGTTGTAAAGTTGTGGGAGAGGTTAGTTGAATGAGATGGGAGGGTTCAGATCCACTTGGCACCTCTAAGGTTTGTATGTTTGGTTAAGTTGTAAAGTTGTGGGAGAGGTTAGTTGAATGAGATGGGAGGGTTCAGATCCACTTGGCATCTCTAAGGTTTGTATGTTTGGTTAAGTTGTAAAGTTGTGGGAGAGGTTAGTTGAATGAGATGGGAGGGTTCAGATCCACTTGGCATCTCTAAGGTTTGTATGTTTGGTTAAGTTGTAAAGTTGTGGGAGAGGTTAGTTGAATGAGATGGGAGGGTTCAGATCCACTTGGCACCTCTAAGGTTTGTATGTTTGGTTAAGTTGTAAAGTTGTGGGAGAGGTTAGTTGAATGAGATGGGAGGGTTCAGATCCACTTGGCATCTCTAAGGTTTGTATGTTTGGTTAAGTTGTAAAGTTGTGGGAGAGGTTAGTTGAATGAGATGGGAGGGTTCAGATCCACTTGGCATCTCTAAGGTTTGTATGTTTGGTTAAGTTGTAAAGTTGTGGGAGAGGTTAGTTGAATGAGATGGGAGGGTTCAGATCCACTTGGCATCTCTAAGGTTTGTATGTTTGGTTAAGTTGTAAAGTTGTGGGAGGCGTTAGTTGAATGAGATGGGAGGGTTCAGATCCACTTGGCATCTCTAAGGTTTGTATGTTTGGTTAAGTTGTAAAGTTGTGGGAGAGGTTAGTTGAATGAGATGGGAGGGTTCAGATCCACTTGGCACCTCTAAGGTTTGTATGTTTGGTGTTAAGTTGTAAAGTTGTGGGAGGGGTTGAATGAGATGGGAGGGTTCAGATCCACTTGGCACCTCTAAGGTTTGTATGTTTGGTTAAGTTGTAAAGTTGTGGGAGAGGTTAGTTGAATGAGATGGGAGGGTTCAGATCCACTTGGCATCTCTAAGGTTTGTATGTTTGGTTAAGTTGTAAAGTTGTGGGAGAGGTTAGTTGAATGAGATGGGGGGGTTCAGATCCACTTGGCATCTCTAAGGTTTGTATGTTTGGTTAAGTTGTAAAGTTGTGGGAGAGGTTAGTTGAATGAGATGGGAGGGTTCAGATCCACTTGGCATCTCTAAGGTTTGTATGTTTGGTTAAGTTGTAAAGTTGTGGGAGAGGTTAGTTGAATGAGATGGGGGGGTTCAGATCCACTTGGCACCTCTAAGGTTTGTATGTTTGGTTAAGTTGTAAAGTTGTGGGAGAGGTTAGTTGAATGAGATGGGAGGGTTCAGATCCACTTGGCACCTCTAAGGTTTGTATGTTTGGTTAAGTTGTGGGAGAGGTTAGTTCAATGAGATGGGAGGGTTCAGATCCACTTGGCATCTCTAAGGTTTGTATGTTTGGTTAAGTTGTAAAGTTGTGGGAGAGGTTAGTTGAATGAGATGGGGGGGGGGGGGGTTCAGATCCACTAGGCACCTCTAAGGTTTGTATGTTTGGTTAAGTTGTAAAGTTGTGGGAGAGGTTAGTTGAATGAGATGGGAGGGTTCAGATCCACTTGGCACCTCTAAGGTTTGTATGTTTGGTTAAGTTGTAAAGTTGTGGGAGAGGTTAGTTGAATGAGATGGGAGGGTTCAGATCCACTTGGCATCTCTAAGGTTTGTATGTTTGGTTAAGTTGTAAAGTTGTGGGAGAGGTTAGTTGAATGAGATGGGAGGGTTCAGATCCACTTGGCATCTCTAAGGTTTGTATGTTTGGTTAAGTTGTAAAGTTGTGGGAGAGGTTAGTTGAATGAGATGGGAGGGTTCAGATCCACTTGGCACCTCTAAGGTTTGTATGTTTGGTTAAGTTGTAAAGTTGTGGGAGAGGTTAGTTGAATGAGATGGGAGGGTTCAGATCCACTTGGCATCTCTAAGGTTTGTATGTTTGGTTAAGTTGTAAAGTTGTGGGAGAGGTTAGTTGAATGAGATGGGAGGGTTCAGATCCACTTGGCATCTCTAAGGTTTGTATGTTTGGTTAAGTTGTGGGAGAGGTTAGTTGAATGAGATGGGAGGGTTCAGATCCACTTGGCATCTCTAAGGTTTGTATGTTTGGTTAAGTTGTAAAGTTGTGGGAGGGGTTAGTTGAATGAGATGGGAGGGTTCAGATCCACTTGGCATCTCTAAGGTCTGTATGTTTGGTTAAGTTGTAAAGTTGTGGGAGAGGTTAGTTGAATGAGATGGGAGGGTTCAGATCCACTTGGCATCTCTAAGGTTTGTATGTTTGGTTAAGTTGTAAAGTTGTGGGAGAGGTTAGTTGAATGAGATGGGAGGGTTCAGATCCACTTGGCACCTCTAAGGTTTTTATGTTTGGTTAAGTTGTAAAGTTGTGGGAAGGGTTAGTTGAATGAGATGGGAGGGTTCAGATCCACTTGGCACCTCTAAGGTTTTTATGTTTGGTTAAGTTGTAAAGTTGTGGGAGAGGTTAGTTGAATGAGATGGGGGAGGGTTCAGATCCACTTGGCACCTCTAAGGTTTGTATGTTTGGTTAAGTTGTAAAGTTGTGGGAGAGGTTAGTTGAATGAGATGGGAGGGTTCAGATCCACTTGGCACCTCTAAGGTTTGTATGTTTGGTTAAGTTGTAAAGTTGTGGGAGAGGTTAGTTGAATGAGATGGGAGGGTTCAGATCCACTTGGCATCTCTAAGGTTTGTATGTTTGGTTAAGTTGTAAAGTTGTGGGAGAGGTTAGTTGAATGAGATGGGAGGGTTCAGATCCACTTGGCACCTCTAAGGTTTGTATGTTTGGTTAAGTTGTAAAGTTGTGGGAGAGGTTAGTTGAATGAGATGGGAGGGTTCAGATCCACTTGGCATCTCTAAGGTTTGTATGTTTGGTTAAGTTGTAAAGTTGTGGGAGAGGTTAGTTGAATGAGATGGGAGGGTTCAGATCCACTTGGCATCTCTAAGGTTTGTATGTTTGGTTAAGTTGTAAAGTTGTGGGAGAGGTTAGTTGAATGAGATGGGAGGGTTCAGATCCACTTGGCATCTCTAAGGTTTGTATGTTTGGTTAAGTTGTGGGAGAGGTTAGTTGAATGAGATGGGAGGGTTCAGATCCACTTGGCATCTCTAAGGTTTGTATGTTTGGTTAAGTTGTAAAGTTGTGGGAGAGGTTAGTTGAATGAGATGGGGGGGTTCAGATCCACTTGGCACCTCTAAGGTTTGTATGTTTGGTTAAGTTGTAAAGTTGTGGGAGAGGTTAGTTGAATGAGATGGGAGGGTTCAGATCCACTTGGCACCTCTAAGGTTTGTATGTTTGGTTAAGTTGTAAAGTTGTGGGAGGGGTTAGTTGAATGAGATGGGAGGGTTCAGATACACTTGGCATCTCTAAGGTTTGTATGTTTGGTTAAGTTGTAAAGTTGTGGGAGA